GCAATTGGCGTGGGATATTGAACGTTTATCGATGGAATAATGAACACATATATTTACAAAAGTATTTTGGTTCAACATAGACAGTCTTCCGTGGATTCCTTGGGTCTCGGAAGTTCGTAGATATTTCAACAAGACAACGGTGCTAAACATACAGCGGGTTTGGGGAAGGAATGACTATTGTATTATGCTCATCGTAGGCTTTATAGTCCTCCGCAATCATCAGACTTGAACCCGAATGAGCATATTTGGGAGTTATTGGAACGAAAAATTGCTATGGCGACTTCAACCAGCAAATAAGCCTTGGAAGAATATCTAAAAAAGGCATTGTCTGAAATTTGGTTATATCTACGCCACGTCGTCTAAAGGCAGTTATAGAAGCATGAGGCGGGCCTACAAAATATTAAAATTGTTTTAAGCCCATTTATTTTATGTTTAATTAAATCAAAATATCATATAATATGTGTTGTATTTAAACTTTTGTCCCGCTTGATTTTATGTTTTTAATGAATTTACCGTTATTTACGCGAATTGGAATATTTTTTGGATTGCATCGTTGATTAATTATCTACTCTAAAAAAAACTGCACTCTTACATTTACTCTAAAATGCTTAATTTTAATAAAAAGTAAAATTTTATAGGTATATTTAAACTTTTGTCTTTGACTGTATGCACATATTGGACAGTAGAGAAATGGTTCGCGAAATTTCGTTCTGGAGATTTTAATCTCGAAGATCAACCTCGCAGTGGACGGCCTTCTGAGCTTGATGACGATGTTCTAAGGACTTTAGTTGCGAATAACTCACGTATTTCGACGGAAGAGGTTGCCAGTGAATTGAACGTCAACAAATCAACTGCGTTTCGTCNTCAGGGCAAGAGATGGGTAAGCGGTTGAGACCAACCTGTGTGTCTTACATGGCGGGCTATTGACATATCCAACTCGATTACACTTAAAATATATTGTATTATACAGCTCATTATTATTATTATATACACAAAAGGCTTTGTCATGAATGACTGACGGATCAATCCTAAGCCTAAACCAGTCATCGTAGAGATTAAACTTATTGTTGCAATAAGAAAGCATTTTCCGGGAAGTTGATTTGGGGTCGTTCTATTCGGAAAACTCGAGTTTATTTCAAAGTCGCGTAGGTAACGGTAAACTCATCAAAAACATGAAACGACGCTCGGACAAAAATTTAAATACAACCAAAGTTAAATACCCATCGCATTTGCTTTGTAAGTTCTTCAGAAATAAAGTACCGTTACAAAGTACCGAAAGAAATCTCGATAATCCTTAAGCTTGTATGCAAAATATTGTTCGAAAGTAAAAACCAACAAATCTGTTGGAAATATGCCACGATCTAGGCCTCCAAGGAAGCAATCCTGGCGAGATGTTAGTTTTATCACCAAGAAAGTGACAAAAAATCCTAAAATAAGTGCTGCAAAGATAGCCGACAGCATCACCAAAATACTGGTCAAAAATGTGTACCCAAAAACTATAGCAAGAACTTTACGGGGGCGATAGCTATCAAAGCATAGTTCCACGTGAAAACCCTCTAATATTTGAGAAAAATAAGCAACTTCGTCTTAATTTGTAAGTATATATGGATGAATTCTTATGGAGAAGACTCCTGTTTACGGGTGAATCGAAATTTAATGTGTTCGGAAGAGTTGGCTTCGTAAAAATTTGGCGTCAAGCAATGGCAGCATATCAAACCCAAAATTGAATACGACCCATTAAGCACGGTGAGGGTAGCGTCAAGGTTTGGGGAGCGATTGGAGCAATTGGCGTAGGATATTGAACGTTTATCGATGGAATAATGAACACATATATTTACAAAAGTATTTTGGTTCAACATAGACAGTCTTCCGTATTTCAACAATACAACGGTCCTATTGTATTGTATTATGCTCATCGTCAGCTTTATAGTCCTCCACAATCATCAGACTTGAACCCAAATGAGCATATTTGGGAGTTATTGGAACGAAAAATTGCTATGGCGACTTCAACCAGCAAATAAGCCGTAGAAGAATATCTGAAAAAGGCATAGTCTGAAATTTTGTTATATCTACGCCACGTCGTCTAAAGGCAGTTATAGAAGCATGAGGTGGGTCAACAAAATATTTAAATTGTTTTAAATCCATTTATTTTATGTTTAGTCAAAATATGAAATAATATGTGTTGCATTTAAACTTCTGTCCCGCGTGGTTTCATGTTTTTAATGAATTCACCATCATTTACGCGACTTGGAATATTTTTTTGGATTGCATCGTTGATTAGTTAACTACTCTAAAAAAAAAACTGCACTCTTACATTTACTCTAAAATGCTTAATTTTAATAAAAAGTGAAATTTTATAGGTATATTTAAACTTTTGTCTTTGACTGTATGCACATATTGGACAGTAAAGAAATGGTTCGCGAAATTTCGTTCTGGAGATTTTAACCTCGAAGATCAACCTCGCAGTGGACGGCCTTCTGAGCTTGATGACGATGTTCTAAGGACTTTAGTTGCGAATAACTCACGTATTTCGACGGAAGAGGTTGCCAGTGAATTGAACGTCAACAAATCAACTGCGTTTCGTCGTTTAAAAAAGGTTGGGTACACTTTGAAGCTCGATACATGGGTGCCACATCAGTTGAGTGAAAAAAACAAAGTGGACCGTATGTCAACAGCAATTTCTTTGCTTCGACGGATCAAAAACGAACCTTTTTTGGATCGGCTCGTGACTGGTGATGAAAAATGGATCCTGTACAACAATGTTCAACGCAAAAGAACATGGAAACAGGCACACGAAGGGGCGGAACCGATGTCGAAAGGTGGATTGCATCCGATGAAGGTACTGCTGTGCATTTGGTGGGATATCCGAGGCGTGATCTATTTTGAGCTCTTGCCAGCTGGAGAAACGATCACTGCCAACAAGTATTGTCAGCAATTGGTCGAATTGAAGAAAGCAATTGATGAAAAACGTCCGATTTTGGCCAATCGCAAAGGAGTTCTTTTCCATCATGACAACGCCAGGCCACATGTTGCAAAACCGACCCTGGCCAAACTGAAGGAGATGAATTGGGAAATCATGCCGCATCCCCCATATTCACCCGACATTGCACCTTCTGATTATCATTTGTTTCGATCGCTGCAGAACAATTTGAATGGAAAAAAATTTAAAAATGTGGAAGACGTCAAAAACCACCTTGACACCTTTTTCAACGAGAAACCGCGCGATTTCTATGAATCAGGCATCCGAAAATTGGTTGAACGTTGGGAGTGGATTGCCGAACATGATGGCGAATACATAATTGATTAATAAAAGCGCTTTCTTCAAAAAATTTCAATTTTAGTTTGCACTTGAAATCTGGCACGAACTTATGCACTCATCCAATACATACATATTTACATATGTACATACATATGTATGCAGATATATATGTACATTAGAGCTTAAGATTTTGTTCAAATATTTACGAGATGACCGAGCGTTTGAGCAACGAATGCTCGCACACTCGTTCATTGCTCATTGTTTGAAAATTTTGGAGCTAGAGCTCGAACAATTCGAACTTTTTCGAGGATTTTTCACAATTTTAAATTAAAAACTTGACTTTTTTCCTATAACTCTTTTCTAAAATTTTCATTTTATTTATGGAAAAAATTTTGACAAACAAAATTTAAAAATATCATTTGAGTAGTTGAGCAACGAACGAGTATCGAGGTGCTCACAGTGCTCGATATCCGGGTATCTGGAGCCCTAATATATATATATATATATATACAAATCTTCCATTCATTTGTAAAGATCCGTGAACCAAGTGAAACGTTTAAACAACAACACTAACTTGCGGTCTAAAAATTAAAGAGGAACGTTATAGAATCAACAATTCTGTCTGGACTTTTCAAAGGTGAAGACATTCGCATTGCTCGAATTGCTATCATTTCGTCAGATACTTATCTTTCAAATCAAAATTTTAACTACAGTCTTTTGTCTTTGTAAATGAACGTTTAACATACTACGCAGACAAGCTTGAGGATGCATCCTGGTATAAGCTATAAATTAAGTTCACTGTGCTCTTGAAAAGAACAATTTGGAAAACTGCCGACAATTTTCATTTCCGTTTCCGTTTCTCCTTCAAAAAGTTTTTAAGCACACACACACACACAGACAAGGGTGTATATGTACTCGCATGTATATATGCACTTGTTTTATGGCATCTCAAAGCTATTGGGCGAATAATATGCTCATAAATATGAATAAGTATGTTGCATTTATTTTTGGCAGGTGGTTTTTGACAAAAATGCTTCATTTATGATCTCTCTCTTGGTTACCATAAAATTAAAATTAAAGAAAAATAATAATAAGCAACAGCAGTCAACCTTCATTATTATTTTGCAATCTGTTACTTAACAGTGGGGCTAAGATAAAATTTTCCCAAATGTTAAATGCCCTTACATACATCTCTACATATATTAATGTACATATATACATACGTACAAACGTACATGTAACTGCACGTGTACTTGCAGCTACAACTGTTGACGGATTGTGCTGCAACATTCATCAAGCAACTTACTTGTAAAGGTGTTGGTATGTAATCGTATGTATTCATTACAAACATACATGTGTGTATATGTTAAATGTGTAGGTAGTTCTATTTATTTATTTCTCTGTTTATTGTTTTTTCGCGAAAATTTATTTGATTGGACGGACGAATTTTGGCCGGCTGAGCAGACACACCAAATGAGCACACACACACACACACGCACGCACACATACATACGTACATATGTACATTCGTAGCAAGCAATGATGACGACCCTGAATCTGAATCTGTGTTTCTAGCCACAATTGTGCGCCTACATATATATACTAACACGCACATTTCTATTGTAAATGTAACCAATAGCCATAATGGCAATAACAACAATTGGTCAAAACGAATGTTTACAAACATTTCTGCGAATTTGTTGTTTCTATGCATTCCGATTAGCGATGTTTTAATGTTAAACGTTGTATTATAAAAATGTACCTCAGGAAAATTTTCAATTGTTTGCCGATGCTTTGAAGCTCACTTGATAGTCACAATACATTCAGTCGATCAGAAGCGAAACGGCACTCAGGTAGAGCGCGAGAAAAACATCATAACAGCAATTAATATATAGTGAATAAAATTTAACAAGAAGTTATAAAATTTATTTCAAATTAAAGAAATTTAGCAGAGTTNATAAAATAAAGCAAAATAAAATAAATTAATATATAATAAAATCAAATTAAATAAATGAAAATGAAATATAACGAAAAATATATAAAACAGTTATAAAATAATAAAATTTAAAAAAGTACAAAAATGTGCATTATTTTTAAATAAATTAAAGCAAACAGTGATATAAAATTAAAAGATATAATAAAAAAATAATATACTATTAATTAAATAAAATATAATATTATATAAAGAAATAAAATAAAATAAAATACAACGAAATATAAAATTATTAAATATAGTAAAATATTAAAAATAATATAAAATATGAAATAATTAAATATAATATTGTAAAATATTACAAAATAAAATAATAAGAAATTAATTTAAAAAAATTTTAAATTTATAAACTAAAATAAATAAATAAAGTTAAAAAAATGAATCAAATAAAAAATAAATAACTAGAAATAAAGTAAAATAACTAAATAAAATAAAGTAATAAAAAATAGTGAAGAAATAATTCTAAATAAAATAAAACAACTTGAAAATTAAAAAAATTAAGCAACTCGGGCTTAATATAAAATAAAAAAACTAAAATAAAATCAAATAACACAATATTAAACATAATAAAATAAAATAAAAATTAAATTAAACAATAAATAGATAACTTAAAATAAAAAAAATAAAATTAAGATAAAATAATAAAAAGGAACAAATTAAAACATAATCTAATAAGAAATAAAATTATATAATAAATAAATAACTTCAAATAAAAAATAAAGCAAAGTGGTATTAATTGAAATAAAAATCAAAAATTAAATTAATTAAAATAAAATACAAAAAAAAATAAATTCGAATATAATAAAATGAAATAAAAAAGGTAATATTAAATTTAATAAAATGAAGTGAACTAAAATGAAATAAAGTAAAATAAACTAAATTAAATGAAATAAAATTAAATAAAATAAATTAAAATTAAGAAATATAAAATAAAATAAAAAGAAATAAAAAAATAATATGAAGTAAAATAAACTAAATAAAAATAAAATCAAATAAAATGGAATAAAATAAGATTAAATTAAAAAATATAAAATAAAATAAAATGAATAAAAGTTAAATAAAATATAAAATAATTAAAACGATATAAAGTAAATAACTGGAATGAAATAAAAAATAAATATACCGAAATAAAATAATATAAAATCAAATAAGAAAGAAAAAATATAGGAAACAAATAAATTTAAAAAAGTAATATCTGATTATCTCGCTCAGAATGTTATGAAGTAAAATTAAAGAATTAAAAGAAAATTACCAAGTTATAGCACTTTTTAAGTGAAATGCATGTAGACCGAAAAAAGCGCAAAATGAAATATACAAGTTTTGTGTTTGAGTCTTCAAGTGCCAAATATACATTTACTAATAAAATATCATTTTTACTGCTCATTTTAGATTGTGTGTGATATAAAAAACCACCGACAAAACTAAAAAAAAAAAATGTCATACTCCTGGGATAACCGTGTTGACTTTGTTGTTCGGTATATGTATGGTAAGTGAACGGATAGTGTTTACAAAAATAATACTACTAAAAATTTTACACATACCTACAGACCCCTTCATATATACATATGTACATACATATGTTTATATACTGCTAGAGTGATTTTATATGCATTTGACTATATACGAGACAATAAACAGACTTAACATCTGTAGTGCATCATTATTCCCGCGTTACTAATTCACTGCTTACGGTAATGTAGTTAAGTAGTACAAACATACAAATTTCCACACACTCAAAATACAAAAAAAAAAGTCAAAACAGTCTACCAACACCTGTAAACATACAAATTGCATTCAAACAAATTGCCAAAAATTTATACGGTGATATAAATATTGTTTTGAAATTAATGTGTTTTCGTTAATGTAAGCAGTTTTTCGCTAAAATTTGCCTTTTTTATTTCATCACATACACATAACTATATATATTTTTTAGGTATGTATGTGTGCATTAGGCACTTTCAGTAGTATATATTTACGAGCATACAACCATACATGCATACATTTGTCTGGGCGGAAGTAGTAAATAAGTAGCACATAACCTTAAAAATAAGAAGAAAAAGAAACAAATTTAAACACGCCACCTTTACGATCTCGCAAACTATTTAATGCAAAAAAAGAAAAAAAAAGAAAAAGAAAATAAAAAAAAATAAGCAAGCAAATAAATAAAAGCAACAAATAAATAAAATAAAATCTACATACCTTAGTTTTAAAGAAATATTTCTTACTTGTGTTAAACATAAATTTATAAAATTGAAATAGTTGAGACAATGTACCCAGATGTGTGCGAAATTTATTTAGTAAATTTATTGCACAAGCGCAAACTAATGTAAACTACGTGTAAGTGGCTAGTGGAACTTACTTTTTCCCTGCAAGCTAAATTGTGCGGGTTGTAGTTAAAAATAAATCTGAGTAGTGAGTGCCTTGCAGTATGCCTCAATAGTATATTAATAATAATAATAATAATGTATCGGATACTCATTGAAATTGTCTACATAAGGCAGTTTGTAATTTACCATCTGCTCTGCGTTTATTTCTTTCTTTCTTTCTTTCTACAACCTAAACTGTCTGGAAAATTTTTACGCGATCCCAATATTTTCCTCAGATATTTTATATAAATCTAAATAAAAATGTAATAAATTGTATTTATTGGTTTTGATGCAACTTTTCCAAAATATTTTTTAATTTCTGACAAAATCAGAAAGGTTTTCAAACTAATTAAAGTATTTTTTAAAACCCTTTGAATCTAGGTTAGGTTTGGGTTACACTGGCTGCTATGCCTTACTTAAAACTTCTTTTATAGTGCCAGATAGAAGATAAACTTGAGACGATTGGTAGTAATATTTAGTTTTGAAACTTTTTCCAGACCTCTGAACGGCGAAGTTCCTAGATATGTAGGACGTGTTCCAGAAATAGCTAGCTTGTGATGCAAGTAGATTGTTGCCCGTCACTAGGCATACAACTGTACTACACTTTTTTCGCTACCATTACATATGATCTTGGCGATCTTGCCGGCCGTTTAGGCATTCCATCTCACGCTGAATCACCATTCAGCTCTAGTTTAACTAATTTAACAGTCTTTATCAGCTTTTATATTTCATATACTGGTTCGGTTTTCAGCCGAATATTTGAGATTATTTCTTTAACCAACCGTTGATTGACGATTCAAACAGAATATAAAAAACTCCTTAGAAGAATTCATCGGCCGTTCGAAGGCGGGGTTATACATAGTTAGAGTTCTCAAAGTTCGTTTTTCTCAAAACATGTTTTTCACCTTTTTTAAAGGATTGAATTGGCATCATTTGTAATTCATGAAAAAAAACTTTTTCTAAAAATCACAACTCTTTTCTGCGATTAAAATAGAAAATAGGTCATGGTGTTTCCTGTTTGTGCTGAAAACATTTTTACTTTTAATAGACACGCCATTTGGAATTTTTGAAATTCGGCCTCAGAGTCGTAATCAGCGACACAGAAAACTCTTAGGTGCCATTTGTTATAGAAATGTATGGATTTTTACACCTTTATGTTCTGTTTACATTTTTTCTTGTAGTCCTACATACAATAAACTCAAACCCCTGCCCTAAGAATGCAAGCGTATAGTTTGGCTTGGGACTAATTTTAAAGAGCAGGACTCTGTCTTTTTTTAGATCAGCAAAGTTCATAGCACATCAGGTTTTAGCTGTACAAGTTGTCAATAATGTCAAAAAACGCTATTTTAGGAGGTTTCAATCACTGTTTTTTTAGGAAAAGAGGACGTGATGATGGACGTGTTTCTTACCCCGAATTCGTGTTCAGCACGCAAGATACGTTTGGAAATATTTTGTCCCATGTACGTATATTTTGAGCCTCGCAATCACATAGAAATCCTTAAAATTATAATAAAAAAAATATTAACAAGCATATCATAAGCTAGGTGAGAATTCTGCCGAAAATCGCCACTGCGACCACGAAGCGCCCATTACATATACATATATGAAACTGTATATATATATTTTTTAAATTAAAGTTACTATACAATATATTTCGAAATTCTTACCAAATATTGTCACTGTCTATTTAAATTAAGGAAAATTATTTTGATTTAATTTTTGGTAAAGTTTGTGTGTATGTACATATGTATATATGTACTCATATGTAAGCAACTGCGCGAAATTAACAAGTTGTTTTATCGCGCCCAGCAATTTTCACACACACACACACACACGCCAAACACGCACAAATGTACTTGTAAATATGTATGTACATACACATATGTGTGCAAAGAACTGCAACAATGCGCTCGACTAAGATTTTTTATGCACCGGGAAATTGATAAATACAACTTATGTTAAATATTATATATGCATGTGTGAATACATATGTATATATAATATGTATTTAAAATAAATTTAATTAAAAGTAACAGAGCATATAAATTTCTGGGCGTACAGTTGTTTAGCTTTTTGTGTGGCATCTTCTAAATAAATACTTTTTGGCGGGCGAAAGCTCTTACGACAAACACACACACACACACACTTAAGCATATAGCGGATACTAAATGTAGGGTTTTGAATGCTAAACAAGTACTTAAGTTTGTATATATATATATGTATTTAAGCTTTGGGCTTGCAACTGTTAGTAAACTTTTTACATACATACATACATACGTAAATATGTTCATGCATATGTGTATGTATTAGCATGCTAAACTGTTCATTTTGTGTGCGTATAATCAAAATACCTAGATCTGCTATACTAGTAACTATGCATGTATGCGTATACAGACGATCAACAAAGTTCCTATTTACTGTGCCAGTGGCCAGAGGTTTGAATAAACTATTTATAATTTTAGCGCAATTTCGCAAAGAAGGACTAGTCAACGGAACATAGATTGTATCTATTGTAATAAATGATGACATAAAATGTAGTAGGATGTGATTAAATTAATTATTGAAATAATATAAAAAAAATTATGATGCACTTTTTAAAAGAAATATTTCTTAGGCAACAGAAAAAAAAATATAAATTTAGGAGATGATTATAAACTGGTAATAGTTAAAACAATAGTGCTGTTCGGTGAGCTGATGGACGTTCGGTTAGGTAAAAAGGTAGTAAAATTTGCCCCGAGAGTTTTGGAATTTGGACATTTCGTTACTGGCTAATTTTTACTAGTATTTTGCTAAGAATTTTATAAAAAAATTATTGTATAGGCGTCAAACTATAAAGACACGAATATATTTTCTCTAACAGCCATCTAAAGGACTTACTTTGCAACTATTAGCCGCTTACGAGTAAGCATATTCAGAAAAGGCTTTACTCTTTCTTTTAAAAGCGAATAAATATTTCATTTCCAGTTCTGATGGATGCATTATGGTCACTGTGACCATAGCCACAACTCTGGTTCGCAATGCTTAGCTGCTTTTTTAATCGACACAGCTTCTAGTAAATTGAAGGAATCCAAATTTGGTTTGGTTATGATTTCACTGCACTGCCACAAAAATTTTAACATAACGGATATCTTTATTATTAAATTACTATTACATTTAATTACTTATTTTGTTAATATATCTTTTAAATTACTTGCGCTTTGTAACCCCTGAAGCGATTTTCGGTCGAACTCTTCCTTCAATTTGTGGTTTTGTGTCTTAATGTTTTTCCAACAAATGGACGAACCTACAGTTTATGCTAAGCCACATCCAAACGGTTGATGATTTTTTTACGAGCAGCTTTTATTTCATGTCAGAAATACATTCGGAGGGATTACATTCCCAGCCGAGGGGCGACCGCAATGAGAAAATAAGCATAATTTTGATTTAAATTAATTTCTTTTAACATTTTGGATGTTAGTACGACACCAGGATTTGAAGCCGAGCTTTCCGATTGGCACTACGCAATGCTAACCACTCAGCTACTAAGTGAAATCTTCTTAACACGAATTTATAGCTTCCCCTGCAAATTAAATGTCAAACTTGATCATACTCATTGCAAATTTTACTGACTTTTTGCCTCACCGAACGCGTTGTAGTAAAATTCAGTAACGATTGTTACTGCCCATCGAAGAGAACTAATTTTAAATCACTTTAATATTCCATTAGCCTTTTGTCTTTTGTTCTATGGAGTACTTAACTTTTTTAGAAAATCAAAACATGAATGTTTTTGGGGTCTGCTTAAATATTATTAATTCTAAGCAATCACTCTTTGTATAGCGACAATCCTGCTATCACATAAGCCAGAAATGCAACATAATTTATTCCACATCTGATATTTATTTCCACTCGCTATTCATGTAGCTAGAGTAGCTAAAGTGTATAATTAAAATTAATATCAATTAGACATTATTTTACTTGCAAACATTCCTACATTACACGTTGTGCTAAAACAATGTAATATATTGTTTGTCACACCAAAACTAAGACCTGTAAATTTTTATTTATTTATTTCTCTTCAGATATCGACAACAATGGCTATCTGGATCAAAATGACTTCCAGTGCATGGCCGTTCGGGCATGCGTTGTGGAGGGCAAAGGCGACTGCAGTGCTGCCCGCATTGCAGAATATCAAAAACTCATGAAGAACTTGTGGGATGAAATCTCAGAAATCGCCGATGATGATAAGGTATGGTAAAAAAATATATAATAATATTAAAAATACTGCTGTGTATTAAGCCTAACAAATTAATATTACCTTTAAATTTTATTTTTTTTCCATTTTACTTTAGGACGGTAAAATTTCAAATGCCGAATTCAAAGAAGCCGTGCGAAAAACTTGCGTCGGCAAGAAATACGACGAATTCCCCCAGGTTAGTATTGCAAGTTATTAGAGTTTCAGCCAATTTCTAATCGATCTGAAAAAAAAATTACATTAAAAGATTTATATCATGCATACATAAGTGCAATTTAAATTTTATTATTTACAATTTTATTTTATTTTTCTTACTTTCAAAAAAAAAAAAAAAAAAAAAAAAAAAAAAAAAAAAAAAAAAAAAAAAAAAAACATAGGCAATGAGGGCATTTATTGAAGCCAACTTCAAGATCCTGGACATCAATAGTGACGGTATTGTCGGTGTTGAGGAATACCGTTATAACTGCATTACCAGAATAGCTATCGATGATGTTTCACCAATCGATAAAGCATTCGAGTCGTTATTAAACGTAAGAGAATAATAAAAGTTTTATTATTATATTTATATGTTATTAATCATAACTTTCAATTGATAAATTACAATAACATTACCATTTTATATTAAGAAATATATATGCAAAATTGTTATAATGTACTACTTATTATTATTACTATTTTTCTCTCATAGGACGAAGACAGGAAACGCGGTGGTCTGTCATTGGATCGTTATAAGGAACTGTACTCTCAATTTTTGGGCAACACTGCCGACAACCATCCAGCTGTCAACTTGTTCGGGCCTTTATAAATAAATAATTTATGAAAAAAGCAACAAAAATAACTAACTAAAATTAATAAATATATATTTTTTTGATTGTCTTCGCTGTTGTTCAACTATTGTCATTTAAGTGTCATTCATAATCACTGTACATTATATCTAAAATTAATTAACTATGGCAAAAAAGTGAATTTACGTTATGTACCCACGCACACCGAAAAGTATGTAGAATCGTTTTAAACAACCAAAAAAAAAAAAAATAATGAAATATTAAAAACAATACAATATACATATATACTTAGATAATTGTTAAATGGAAAGCAAATAAAAAATAATCTACTTTTTTGCTCTCCCATAAAATGAAAAAATAAAACAACCTTGACATATGTCTCTCTCTCTTAATCTTAAAAAAAAAAATGAAACATAATAATGAAAATATTTAAGGACTTTCTATACAGAATATACATTTATGAATATATCGCAAAGAAAGAAAATAATTACATATTATGAATAAAAACATATATACACTTATGAATATGTATGTATAATACATATATAAATATTATAAATATTTTAACATTATTAGCACACAATACTATATATTTTACATAAAAAAAAACTTATTAAATGTTTGTATCAATAACGGCACACACTTCATAAGCAAGTGTAAAAACTATCAATTTTAAGTACACACTTTAACAAATTATGATGTTCCTTTATTTTATACAATAAAAAATATAAAGTATCTTCGGATCAAGGCATTTGTGTTTTGTTTTTATACATTTTGTTGATATGCTGAAAGTAGGTTCACACCCTTGCCAGAGCAACGCCTAAAATTGTAAAGCATTTTTTTTAATTTTGCGCAGAATTATTATTTTTATATATATACCATTAGCGAACACATTTGATTATTCATTAAAGCAAACTTTATTTCCTTCATTGAGGAACGAGTCATATATTTCACCTTTACATAAATTTGGTAGTAGATCTTCTATAGGGAATTACAAGGGGATTGTAAGTAATGGGATTTTCCATCCCCCAAAATTCTCAAAGCTAATACATCAATTGGTCCATTCTGTGTTGATATCTCGCAACATGGCAAATCTAACCTATCGAACGTACTAGAATTCACAACACATATCAGGAATAGTTTGAAAAATGATTATCAGACTGATGATATCTTTACTGATTTCAGCAAACCATTTGACAAGGTGTCTCATGCTGTACTTCACTTTAAAAACTCGATCATTTCGTGTTTCCTCCTTTTTTCCTCAGAAGGATTTCATCTTATTTGATTAATAGAAAACAAAAAGTAACTTTTGACATCAACATAGTTACCTCGGCCCCCTACTCTTCCTTATACTCATCAATGACCATCTAAAAGTGATTCTTCATTCTAAAACACTTTTCTATGTAGATGATGTCAAGCACCTTAAAATCAGTTCATTCTTTTGAAGCTAGAGAACTCTTCTAACCTGACGTAAATAATTTAGTTAGGTAGTGAGATGTAATTTGTATGCCCCAAAATTTAAATAAGTGCAAATATACAATAGGTGTTTATCCAGAAAATCTTTCCCGTCCTTTGCTTATATGATTCATAATCACAATGTTGAACAAGTTACTGACTTCACTTATTCAGAAATTATATAATTTCTTGAGCTAATAAGCCAAAAGGTGTTTTAGCTTTCATTTAATGCTAGGCTGAGGATTTCAATAACCCATAAATTACCAAATTACTCTTTACTTCACTTGTTCGGCCTATTTAGGATAGAGGCGCACTATCAATCGTATAGTGATAAATTGTAGTCGGTACAAAGGCAATTTCTTCTCTTCGCGTTAAGAAATTTAAGCTGATAAAACTGATCTAGCTTCAAATATATGTCGAACTGGCCACTAAAATTTTGAAGACATATTCTTGGATAGTTTTAGAATAGATTGAAAAACAAACGCATTTTTTGCAGCCTCTAAAGCAGACTACATTTTGCACTTACAATATCGCACGTTACAAATGATTCATTAAAATTCCGTAAAAATTGTTACTGCCCATATAGTCACCAAACAGAGCTGTTCTGCAACTTCCGGCCTAGATTTTACTGACTCCTGTTCATTAAAAACTCACTAAATTTATTTTTCCATGGGAGAGCAAGACATATTACTCTCTCAATTTCCTTTCTGGCTAATTTTTACTGACATTCCTCAACGAACGCAGTTACCGTTTATTGCTTTTTGATTTAAATTATTTTCATAATTTCCAGGTATGAGGTATTTTAAATTCTATGTCTTCAATATTACTAACAATAACTCAATGTAGGCTGTGTTGTGTGCCACCGACGATTCTACTCCTCTGCCACCGAATTTTCGTTAAACGTGCATCCTTAGTATTTAATTGAAACATTCAGTTAAATTAAACCAAATTACATTTAATCACTTATTTTGTTAATATACCATTCATATTAAAGTATAAATATTATTTGCATTTTAAATAAGTGTTGTTCTTTATTTAGCTGTCCCAGCTGGCCTTGAAGTAGCCCATTCTGTCGACCCAACTTTTCTACACATTTTCGATTATATGGCACTCTAGGTGTTTGGTGTTTCGTATAATAAATCGCCCTTGGAATGTTGGTGTAGCAATTATTCTTAATGGCACGCCACAATTACTTCAGAGTCAAATAGCAGCCTCCGAGGCAGCCAGTTGAAAATTTGCCTGGAAGACGAGTTTTTATATGTACCAATTTTTTTCAAACGTAATCTTAATCATTTCGAAAGGTCTTGTATTGAATATTGGAAACATCGAGAATGCCATTGAACCAAGTGTATACATTGTATGTGTATAAATTGATATATATATTTGATATAATTATCTTTTTTTATTATAAACGAAAAACATCACCGTTTTACCTTTGCTAAATTATACAATTTTACTCACACATTTCTTGACCTTTTAACCAATTTAAATTTATTTACTGGTTTCCGGCGGCACTACAATTGCTGTGCTACCAGCGCTTTACAAATATTAGGCGAAAATGATCCACAATTTGGCACAAAAAACGCCCTTTACTAACGATGTGGCAACATTTAACGGCTGACTTTCATCATCGCCTATATTTATTGCATTTCTCTCACAGTGTTTTTAATTGAAGAAGTTTCTATTTTATAACAAGCAAAATTGCTTCGCCGATTAGAAAATTTTGGGGTGGCTGCATCAATTTTCTGGGAGTCTTTCATAAGCAGTTTCAAAGGCAAATAATGGACGCTGAACCTTTGGATCCCATGGATATTTTGGCTTATACCACCGAAGAGTTGCAAGGGCGTTTTCGTCGTGCCAAAGATGGCATAGAGAAAGCTAAAGTTATTTCTGATTTCCTCTGTCGTTGGGATGCAGATGCAACACTTGCACCAGTGAAAAATATGAAAATCGAATTTCAAGAAGGTTCCTATCTATTTAATAGCATTATATTAGAGTACGGTTTTCCTATGGCTTAAGTATTAAAAGTTATATACATATGTGTAAACATACATACATATATCACATTTTTTAGAGTAAGCAAAATGATGAACCGTACTCCAAGTTTCTTTATATCTACCCGTTATAATTAAATTAAAATCTCACCAGATCTTGATTGGTTCAATGTTACCCGACCGTTGCCGTTAAAATCTCTGCGTGGCAAGCTTGTTGTTTTAGACTTCTTCACTTACTGCTGTATCAACTGCATGCACATTTTACCGGATCTTCATGCGCTCGAAGAACTTTACCCGCCGGAAAGTGGGCTCGTTGTTGTTGGTGTACACAGTCCGAAATTCGAAAACGAAAAAGATGGTGCAAATATATTATCTGCAGTACAACGTTATGGCATAACTCACCCTATAGTAAATGATGCGCATATGACCCTATGGCGTTCCGTAGGCATTCGTTGTTGGCCATCGTTGCTGGTGTTAAGCCCTTCAGGAGCGCCCATGTTATTGTTAATGGGTGAAGGTCATGCCGCTTTCCTACAACTTTTTACTGAACAGGCCTTACGTCACTACAAAGCAAAAGGAGAAATAGATACCAACTCCCTGCCACTTAAAATATCTATTGACGCATTGCCGGCATCAAATATACGTTTCCCAGCGAAAATAGCGCGCAGCGAGAATGGATATTTTGCTTTGGCAGATGCAGGAAATCATCGTGTATTAATTTTCGACAAGGAAGGTGTTGTACGTTATCGCATTGGCGGCTGTACTCATGGGTTTGTTGATGGGGACTTTGAAACGGCACGATTCAATTCCCCTCAAGGCCTGGATTTTCTAGATGAGGATGTGCTTATTGTGGCAGATACAGAAAATCATGTTTTGCGTCAACTAACTTTAAGTAAACGACGTGTTGAGACACTTGCTGGCACTGGTCAGCAGGGACATGATCGCGTAGGTGGTAAGCAAGGTCCATTGCAGGCTATATCTTCACCATGGGATATAGCAGCGTTTAAAAGACGAGATATGGATATGTCTTTTCATTTGGATGAACAAAATGTGCCGGAAAAGGCAATTATTTTAGTTGCTATGGCGGGTATACATCAAATTTGGGGTTATTTCCCAGAAGGCATAATTTGGTGGAAATATCGTCAGCTGGATCCACGCGCTTGTGTCGCCATTATTGGTAATGGTATGGAGGAAAACCGTAACAACTCTTATCCACAAAATGCAGCATTTGCACAGCCTTCCGGTTTGGCTTTGGGCAAGAATTTCCTCTATATTGCCGACAGTGAAAGCTCAAGCATACGCAAAGTCTCAATGGTGGATGGCAAAGTTATGCCAGTGGTGGGTGGCGACCGCAACCCATTGGTGAGTGAATGATAAAAAAAAGAAATACTTTTATAAAATAAAAATGTTTGTTTTATTTTTACAGAATCTTTTCGCTTTCGGCGACGTCGATGGTAAACAATACAATGCTAAATTACAACATCCTCTAGCTGTCGCCTACAATAGTGCCAACGATAAAGTGTATGTAGCAGATACATATAATCATAAAATTAAAATGATAGACACAACCACTAGTTGCATAGAGACACTCTCAATCAAAGATGACAAAGGAGCGCCGCTGCAATTTAATGAACCTGCTGGCTTGTGTTTTGATGCCGACGGTCAGTCCTTGTATGTAGCAGATACCAATAATCATCGAATACAATTGGTTGATATGAAAACACTTACCGCCAAAAATTTCACACTTAAATTTACTGCTTTGTCAGCCGCGGAAGCAAACACCGAAACAGATTCAGCTTTCAGCGGCGGCTTACAGCTCCTTAAACGCATCCCACTACGATCTTGTGTACAGCTAAAGCTGCGTGTGAATGTAAATTTGAGTAATGAATTAAAATTTACAGAAGCAGCGCCACAACGTTGGGTAATAAAGAGCATTGCGCCGGCTTTAAAAGCAACAGTGACTTCGGGGCAAATTATTAACGGCGCTTTAGAATTAGATTTGAATCGTAATGCATCAGTTTTGCCCGCAGAGGAAGAAGTAAAATTGGAACTTGCTCTGAGTTTATGCGATGCAAAGAGTTGTCTTATGAAACGCTTCGCTCTGGTGTTACGAGACAGTGCCGCTGAGGGCGCTTCAGGCGGCAAGCCAGTGGATAAAGCAGGTGTTTTAGATGAAAATATAAATATTCGTATTACACAGAATGAGATTGCTTTGAGCTAATGTCGGTTTAGTATTAAGATTGTACATACACAATTTTTTATGTATTATGCATTTTGTATACTTACAGGCATATATACATGTGTTACTTTCTTTGCAATAGAACAAATAAATGTTACATGTTGCGTAATTGTAAATATTTGCTGAAACGATATTTCATTGAACTTCAGACTTAACAGCAGAAGTGTGTGCAATTCAATTACATGTGGATATGTACATATGTATTGTAGAATTCCGTTTACCAAATACATAGGTTTAAATTAAATGTAGCAACGTAAATTAAGTACTCACAGAGATTAGTAATAATTTACATAATAACGAATATTAAAAGTTATGTAAGAATAATAGAAAAAAAAGATACGCAAATGCTATATAACCGATTTGAAAATTTTTGTATACATACAACACAAGATTTTCATTAATATTTGCAACTACATAAATTCTACGGAAACCAATTTTTATTTGTACCAAATTCTAAAAATATGCATTCAATTTCTTCATTACCGTGGTGCCTTAACGCCACTACTGCATTAGAAATTATTGATTTTTGTTATAACTCTGAACACTTTCGACAATAAACAAGTTATAACTCGCAAACACACTTGAGATAAGTTTTATATCATAAATAGTACTCATATCTACGTTGCGTGCTTCCACGACTGTTAATATATAATTACATTGTTTGCTTTAGAAAAATAAATGCCGCGCTTTATTCATATTTTCAAATGAAATGCTTTAAAAGACTTAAAAAATTATGAGCAGTACTTATTAATATACGTAGATATAAAGGAACAAGAAATTTTGCCTTTGCCTTAAAACTAATATCTGCGTGTAGATTTATAGCATAAAATTATGTATATATTGTTCACTCTGTGCTGAATATCTCTTGAAATAGTTGTTAAATTATGAACTAGACTAATATGTAGTTTCACATGTTTTTAATACAAAAATATTAAAAATGATAAGTATTTTTTAAAATGCAAGTATTTTTGTAGACAATTCTTGGGTGGTGCATGATTTGCGAGACTTACGATTGTTTTTAACTTTATTAATAACAAAACTCTTTTGCCCGTTCTTCTTTACCAATTATTTTACATACTTCACCCAGTAAATCTTTTAATATTAATGTCTGCAGGTGTTGACCCCCATCCAATGTTACGGTGGGTATGAAAGTAACGGGCGGGCGTAGGGCATGCGTTTCGTCACCATTAAATTTTAATAATTCAATGCCATGACCACTGTCAAAACATTTAAATATGAGTTCTGTATTATCGATACCAAGTTGTTCGGCGCACTGAAAAGTCAAAAGAGATGAAATGCATATAAGGTGCGGATTTGCATTATTTTATATATTGATAGTACGTATGAATGCATGACTAACTGTATATAAAATATATGTATAGTCAAGAACACTTGTATAAATAATGAGATGAATATTTCCTAATTATAGTTAGGATAAAAAATCTACGAGATTTCTTATTTCTTCTATTTGAAAAAGAACAATGCCTTAAATAGACCCATTATTTTGAAAGTAATGACGGAAAGAAATACTACATGTTGTACTTACATTATGCAATGCTTCCCTAGGTCTCCGATTATCATGTATCATACATGCAACCATATTAATTCTATCCTCCGCTCTTTGAATGGCTTCAATCGCACAAGCATGATACATGTTGGCTTCACATTCGGTTTGTCCGTGTTGACATTCAAAACGATACGAACCCGTTAAGGTAGTAGATGTTTTCGCTTTGCCATAGGGCACTAATTGTACATCCATTATTGGTGAAGCTTGTTTGAAAGCTGGTAGTAATTGTTTGATAATAAAATGCTTGGAATCTCCACATAATGCTTCATAATACACCGTTACTAAAACAGGCATATTCGCTGTGCGTTTGTACTCTTCTGTTGACTACAAAAACAAAAATGTAATAATTGATTATTAGCAGTTAATTTAATGGCTCAGCAGTTGAATTATTACTTACAGCTTTTATGGCAGCCACTATATCCCCATGGAAGAACAAGTAGCGAATAATGAATAGCAGTAGAAAACTCATGATAAGCAATATGAACAGACGTTTCTGCAATGGCGATACCATGGTTGAGGTTTCTGTATTCGTTGATACCTTCACTAACAAATGACTATATGAACTGATTTAAAACTCTAAAAACAACTTTTTATTTTGCTTTTAGTGGTAAAACATTTTAGTTTGAGATAAGATATGCGGTTGGTTTCCTTCGTATACTGGTGGACTAGTAATTGCTTTTTGTAACGTTGTTGGTTAGCGAACACGTTGCAAATTAATACAGATTTGGATTGAATTTATTTTTTTGTTCACAAAAACGGTAATGTTTTTATAAAAAACAACAATTTTTGCAAATATAAGCAATTTGTAAAATGATTGAGATTCAGCAATCAGCTGTAACGGGGATGAGGAATGCCATATGCGTTCGAAAAAAAATTGCAGCGATTTTTTTGATTACTGGATTATTAAATAAAAATCTCGGCTTCTTTATTGTTAACATACAGTCCACTAACTCTTTGATAAACATCACACAGTTTATTCACCACTCAGTTCACTCCACTTTATATATCACGAATGTTGTCTCTATTAAGTTCCAAAACCAGGTGAGCATATGTGATGTTGGCCGCTGCTCTTATATATCTAGCGATTTCTCTTTTACCTCTCTACATGGAGGTGTTTGACTGTTCTCGAGAACGAGCATTAAATATCCGTGTTAAGAACATGCTGTTGTTAGTGAAATGGCATTTTCGGGACAATATTGTTGCGAAAATGCGAGGCGAATGTCAGATGAAAGAGAGAAGCCGATAACTAGTACGTTCTAGAAACGATAAAACAAGAACCTTCCATAGCGAACAATTCGATGCTTCTACGCTTTCGTCTGCGAGCAGCCGACTGCTATATAAAGGCGACACTCAGCTGCAAGTCAAGGGAGTGATAAAGTAAACTCGTTGGCGTTAACATCAGTAAAGTCGTAAAGTAAACACGTTGGAGAGTACATTTAAGTAGAGTGAATTGTGCAAGTTGATGATAGTGATTGTAAATAGTAGAGTGTATTGTAATTGTATTGTGAATTACGGAGTAAATAAAAGACATTAGATAAAATCTTTATAACGAAAGAAACTGCAAATTGAATTGGCGAGTTTTTATTTAACAATCCAGAGATCGTACCCGAAGGATCTAGAAAATAATCGAGGTTGATTTAGTAAAATCGTAACAATATTTACTAACTTTTATGTATCTACTAACCAAGCGGAACAACAACGCAAAATTGCTCATACATTTCTGAATGCTTATGCGGATAATCGTATATAATAATAATTTTCGCATAGAAAACAATTGAAAATGACCTGCTTGCTGAGCGCGTTCAATGAATGCTCGCCGTGGTGGTATGTTCACTAAATGCATTTTCATTTGACAATTCTCGTGGTCAAATTTAACTTAAATGTGCTTGTGGCCAATATTCAGTTTTAAGTACTAATTTTTATATATACAAGATGGCAAAAAGACTTCAAGAATATGTGAAATACACTAAGAAAGAGCTGGAATCCTACACAAAACAAGAAGGCTCATGTGTCCGAAAGATAAATTCAAATTTGCACCTATCTTTAGGTCCATATTGTCTGGCCGATTTTAAACATGCGCTGAGTGCTCATATAATGCGGAGAAAAGTTGGTTATTATGATGCGAGCCTAGAAGGCATTGTCTTGGACATAAAAAACATCAAAGTTTTAGGAACAGCAGCAGCACTGCGTTCAGATGATCCGCGTATACATGTCGACGTTAATGCCGATTGTTATGTATTCCGTCCAATTGCTGGGGCAATTTTAAGCGGTGTGGTGAAGCATGTTGGTAATCATCATATTGGTGTTATCATTTATAGAGTTTTTAATGTGAGCATAAGATTTGCTGCAAAAATTAATAAGGAGGAATTTAAGATGGATGATTCGGTTCGATTTCGTATAAAGAATTTTAATTTGCAAAATGTATTTCCATACATTGAAGGTGATTTGGTGACAGCTAATGGCGATAAAATTCTTGTAAGTATTGTATTCCATTCAATCCGTGCATTCTCACGTACGTCAGGTAATCAGTGAGAGACATATTTACAAACCTTCCAATTACTAAAAAAAAGCCAAACAAATACAGCAAAATAATAAAATTGACATAATATTTTATATCTCTTTTTCACAGGATAAGTTCATTAAAACAGAACCGGATAGCGCCGACAGCACACATGATTCTGGCATAGAAGAGCGTGATAATCAAGATTTAGATGAGCTTGTTTCATTAATCAAAGAAGAAAAAGCATCTGACGTTGAAGAAGTGGCTGATAAAAGTAAAAAGCAGAAGACCAATGCTACCAAAAGTAAACGAAAATCAAGTGAAAGTGTTGAAACGCCAAAGAAAATTACGAAAATCAAAGAAGAACTTAGCTCAGATAAAAAGAAATCCAAAACTACTCAGAGTATAGGGTTAAACAGCACAGAAACTGTAAAAATTACTCCTAAAAGTAAAACGAAAAAAGTAAATGGTGAATTATTAGATGAAATGCAAATCAAAACAGAAAATGATGATGTTAATAGTACACCAGCTAAGAAACGAAAAACAAAAAAGAATAGCATATCTTCAAGCTAGATACACTAAGAGCTATTCAAAAGAATCGGTTTGCACGTTTAAAGATGGCATTGTTTAGCCATTCCAGCAGAATTTCCGTACTAGTAGCTGCTTGAAAATCAAAGCTAGTTTAACAGTGTAGATATAGTAACTGAAAGCTCTTAAAGTTTAAATTATATATGAAAAATGTAAAGGTTATAAATATATTTTTGTACAAATATGTCATACGTACAAGTAGGTTTTATTAAGTTATTTTGTAAATTAGTTTAAAAAATCGTAAAATAAAATAAAATATACGTTGAATAAAAAAATTTTTATAAAAGAATGTTAACATTTTATGAACTCGTAAGGAAAACACATCAGTAAGTAGTTGCAACATCTGCAAGAAAACTGTGTCTAAGAGCCTTTTGCCGAAAGTCAATCTACACCGCATTAAACAGAATTTTAATGTTGCCATGGAAAAAGTGCCGGAGTTGCTTAGTGAAAGCTAGAATATTAAATTCAAATATCTCTTGTTTGAAAACTGTTTTTCGAACAGAAATATGCTACTAATTAACAGTTTCTATTTTAATCAAAATTCATAACCTAATCACTCTGCTTGAAAATCAATATACCGTTTCGAATATGTCCAACAATAAATATAAATTTATTAGTACTAAAAAAGAATTTGATTCTTACATATTACATTTACATTCATATAGTCACCATACAATATATTATATAATACAATAAATAATTATTTTATTTTTATTTTTTAATACGCCCAAATATACGTATTGCATTTGAAATATATATGTATCTTAAATGTAATAAAAATAAATTTTATAAATGCAATATAATTTACAGCGGAATATACATACATTTAATATGTAGATTAATTTACTATAATATTTGCTAAAGAAGAAGCCAGCTAAATAGTAGTCAGTTGTTTTTCTTTGGGCCCATAAGGGTATGCACCGCAAATGAAATAATTATTTTTGAAGTGTGGTGAGTAATTAGTCAACTTCAAATATTTACTATATATTAATAGTAACTAAACAAAACAAAATTTTCGGTGAAGATTATACAGGTTTATGAAAGTTGATTAGGAGAAAGACTCTACCCGAAATACGAGTAAGCTATTCTCATGATAAATGGTAAATTATCGATTCGCGTCAGGAAAGTTTAGGATGAAGATCTCCTGAAAGACAATACAGTTAAATGAATATAAGACCGAATTTTTACATGGCAAAGACCTGTCACTCCCGCAACATTCCCCAAAAGTTACTTTGGGGAATATTCTTGCTGCTTCAACAACAAAAACAAGATTACATAGATTAGTAATTCGAAGGCCATTGAGTTCGATTTAGACCCACACCAGAAGTGTACTACATGGCCAGAATATTGCAACTAGTCCAATGCTCGCAGATATGTAGAGGAGTCTGCAAAAATTTTTGATTATTCGCAACTCCGAAGTGTGCGTAACCACCGCATGACGCAAATGGTGACACCTTTAACTGAAGAAGCATGTTGGAGCTGTGGATGCATGAATCAATGACGACGATTCCTCGACATATTGTAGTTGTTGTAGAGGCTTTTCCTACACCGATTAGGGACATGCTAGCTAGTCTAAATCCTCGAGGTCATCTAACGGGAGGTACAGGAAGCGAGCTGTTTCGACGGGTTTTAGGTGGCATGTAAAGACGTGGTTAGTATCGTGCGGGTACTCGTTACATACTGGACATACGTTTGGTATGTATGTCGGAGTTTCGATAGGTAGGACAATATCCAGACTTAAGGAGGGGCAGTATTACGCAAATCTCACGACAACCGGTTCTAAGCACCGGAGTTGACCCGGATTTTATGCGGCCAAGTGTTGTCACCCTTCCCTCGATCTAGTTCCGTTTAATTTAAAAGGCAAGATTAGTTCCCGCTATCGCTTCTTTAGTAGATCCATAAGTTTGATCCCCAATCCTATTAAACAATTCAAGTCTAAATATGAAAAATATTACATCCCGGCCTATAACCTCATAAATCGTATTCCAAAATTAGATATGGTAAGGTTTCGAAACAAACTAGCTTACCGAGAAATAAATAGTTAATATATGTATAAGTGGAGTAGTTACATACATTGTAGGATAATCATCATTATAGTACTTTTTAATAGTAATTAGTTAATGCATATCTACAAACATGCATATGTATTCGTTAGATTGAGTTAGATTAAACCGAAATCTCTTGAATATGTACACGTTTCTTGCCGCTTGTTGATGACACCGTATTCGAGCCTGACGACCGTAAGATGCCACCTTGTTGTTGCTGCTGCGGATGTTGTTGTTGTTGTTGTTGATGATGATGTACGCCTTGAAAGGATCTTGGCGGTGGCGGCGGCTCTGGTATATCATCGTCGTCTAAGACCAAATCTTGAATAATATCATCGTTGGATACTTTAACGGCATTTTCGATCTCCTTAAACGACAACTGATCCGATGATTGTACAGCATAATCGAATTGCATCGAAGTTTGACTACCACTGGCCACAAAAGAGTTGCGTCGCATGCTGCCATGCGGCACAACAACTGATGACGAGTCGAGTACCGCCAAACCGATTGGCATTTGTGGCATTTGTGCGCTATATGTGGCCATTTCAATATTGCTAATCGCTTGTAGTTGTTGCAATTCATTGGTGACATCCCTGCTGCCGCTATATGATGGCGCTTCCAAGGCACTGTGATGTTTCGTCTTCAACAAATCCAATGTGCTACTGGAGCCGCCCGGCCAATTCAATTCCATATGTGCTGTTGTTTGGGTGGGTGGTAACTCAACGTGCAATTTCTCATCCTTACCACATTTGGGTTTCTCATCATAGTAGTTGTATTCACCACCGAAAACGACGGTAGTTTTGCCGCTGATTCCGCCATCAAAATGCATGCCACTGACATCGTCATCTGCAATTGCATTCAGTTTTAGTATACTAGAATTTTTACTGGTATCGGTGTCCTGAAGTTCCTCCTTGGTTTTCGCATCGCGTGCACGCTTCTCACGTTGATGATAGATGCCGGCGAAGATGAGTATGTTTAGTGTGAGTAAAAAGCACCCGACCGCAACAGTTGCTATTAGTGCTGTTGTATAACTGGGAAACTGCTTGCCGCTGAGACGTCGGAACATTTCTAAGTTGCCTATTATTCCGGTGGATGCGGTGGCGAGATCCTTTTGCTGGCCACCATTCTCCAATAGCGAGCGATTGTCTGTGTGCACAGAAGGTTGCTGTGTGGAAGCGCTGTCCCCAACGTTCGTGTACACTGGGATATCTGGGTTGCATTCTGTGGAAGAGAATATAGAAGATTGTATGAATGAAATGCCACCAACATTCCAAACGTTATGGAAAATTAATTTAAATAAAGAATTAAGCTAAATATTCAAATTGCGTTCCTCAGCAGGGGAAGTCGCCCCTTCAAGTGTTTTTCTGACATGAAATAAAGCTCAGTATAAGCTGGAAAAACATCAAGACGCAAAAAAAAAACACAAATTGGAGGTGGGGCCCGGCCGAAAAATCGCTTCAGAGGTAGTGCTCGTTGGTCTTCTTCATCCCTGCAGCTACGGCAGAAATCATTAGAATGATATCCCATTATTTTCCCGTGTAGCTTCATTAAACAGTGTCCAGTTATTATGCCCGTCGTGTTGCTAATGGAGAACCGGTCTAGAATGATAAGAGATTTGGATTTTGTTCGCGTCCAGCTTCGGTCATAGCTGTTTGGTCACGTTACACTTGATCTCGTTCAGCCATCTTGAGTCCGCTTCTCTGGTAAAAGCAAGTTTAAGCATGTGCTTTGCCGTGGACAGAGGTAAACCAGCATCGTGTCTATGCTTTATCGTGGGTAGAAGGGTTCCTTCCCTTGCTAGCTCGTCCGCTATGCAGTTGCCTCGGGTGTCTCTGTGTCTAGGTACCCAGCTGTGCTATAATTGGGGGAGAGTTTTTTGAGAAATTTTATGGCCACTTTTGGCGTGTTGCCAATACATTGGAGAGATTTGATTGCAGTTTGACTGTCGGAGTATACTGTTACTGATTGTCCTGCTACCATAGATTTATGCAAACAATCACCAAACATCGTGGATGCTGATTGCAAAGATTTCGCCTGGAAAACGCTCCAGTGGTCTGGTAGTCTCATGCTCATATTCAATGAAAGTAAGGGAGAATAAATTCCGCATCCCACTTTTCCATCAAACTTCGAGCCGTCTGTGAAGATGGCTATGGCTCCCAGGTCAGTGGCATTGGTAGTTTCCCACTCGCATCTGTTTGGGATTCTCGTGGAGAAACGAAATGCAGGAGGTGGTGTAGTCTAGAGCCTTTGACACTTCTGCTAGAGATAATATTTTCGTGTGCCCTATACTGCAAATCGACCAAGGTTGAGCAGCATTCTGCCTGATTGCATTGAACCCTGCTTGTAGTTTCTCGTATAGGTCCAGAGGAAGGATGTTGAGAAGAGTTAACAGGGCTTTCGAGGGAGTTGATGGAAGTGCCCCTTGCATTTTGAAGGAGTTCACTTAAAGTTTGTGTATCGCTTTTGTGTCGCTGTAAGGGCAAAGTCATTAACGTATGATCGCTGGGGTATTGGTCTAACCAGGACTCGAACCCTGGCCTTCACAATCTCGGTACGGAATGCTAACCACTCGAATTTTAAACTTTGCAAAGAGGGACGGCGGTCTGGATTTAAATTCATAAAAGACCAAACTTGTACTCTTCACTTGAACGCACACCATCTGCCTTTAAATTACCCCTCTCACTCTTATTCAAAGTCTTCCGGAACACTGTAGAAAGTTGTAAGAAAACTACGACCGCACTCTACGCAGGCAAGGCGCCGATCGGTAAAAGCTGGATATTAAGATGATATATATTGTACTGGCTACTTAACTTACTATCTAAAGACAATCTAAAATTTTGTCGGAATTTTTCTATTTTGAAGTAAGAGACCTAAAGAGAAATATGATCGTAGGAGAGTTTATTTATTTGAATACTGAAAACTTGTGGTTTTCTCTCTCTCCTAAAGACCAGCAGAACTTCTTTTCTTAGAGAAGTTGTACGAAGCGCTGTCAATCTTGGTAAGCGGCGCGTCTAAAGTCTTCCATTTGTGATAAAAACCCTAGACAGAAAACTTCGCACTTGTTCGAGCCGTTCAAGACAAGAGTACCATATGAATTCCCCACTTGTTCATTGTTTGCGCTTATTTTAGACAAGGCGGCCACAATAGCCGAGTGTTTGGCATTGCCTTTTTCTGTCATTCTGAAGGCAAGGTTTTGAGCTCTGGCTCGACCAACAACCAAAGTTATAGACAATTCGTTTTTCTAAATGCGATCGTCTCTCAGCAAGGCATGTCAAGCCCTTCGAGGTCATTTCTGACATGAAAGAAATGCTCTTCTTAAAAATTTATTAGCTGAACGGAGCCGGCTTAGGATAAACTGCGGGTCCTTCCACAAATTGGAGGAGGAGCTCGGCCGTTTTAGTGGTTAAAAAGGCGCCATTTATATTATAAATATATATATATATAGACAAGAATTTTCCTTTGTAACAAAAGAGTGGACAATGACTAAGTTCATTCCCAATGGGCTATTATAACAACTGCTGCCGAAGCCACCATCCATCGACCGAATATGAAGCGTTCTATTTATTTTTTTCTTTGATTAGATATACAACTCACCTGTCGTTGTAGCGCCGACCAAAACATTTCCGCCAGTCTTAGTATTATTACTCACAACCTTTGTAGCTGCGGTGGATTTGGGTGTCTTCGCCGCAGTTGTATCCTCATCATCTGGTGGCTTTATTTGCAATTGGGGACGCACAACACCTATTTGTTCGTAGAGGAAATTTTTAATTTTTTCCAAGTTTTCTATATATTTACACTTCGCAAAACTATATTTTACCTTCGTATAAATCACGATTACTGATGTCATCGGGAAATTGATGATGACGCATCGACTGATCATTGATATTGGAATGTTTGTGCAGTTGTGGTATTAAATTCAACCACATCGACAATTTATGACCGCGATAATGGCTCTGCACTTCCGCCTTATTGCCTGGATGAATAGATGTAATATTTAATATAGTTTTTTGTTTTTTCTTATTCTTAAGAGGCGGTCGAGATGCTTCAAATCAGCTTACCCAGCTCTAAATAGAGTTGATTTACTACATCGTAGGCATCCCAAAAGGGCAAATGTTCACCGCGTCCATTCGGCAGCGGATCGTCAGCGGCAAATCTTAACGCCATATTTAACAGTTCGTTTGATTCGTTGTTATTATTATTATTATTATTGTTGTTGTTGTTATGCAGATGACGTTTGTAGTATGCACGTCTTTCACGCATTGCACCGCTACGCCGTTGATTGTAGATTAGCGCAAGATTTATGGCGCCAGCGGCGTCCAATAAATTACCATGCTGCGCAGCGAGCTGATGTGGCAAAGTGAGATTGAAGAATTTATTGACGGCGTTTAGTGATTTGAGTGAGGCTCGTTTCACTTTGCCATGATCTAATAGTTGGGTGGTATAGCCGGTTGATCTGGACGTTGATGGAGATATGGATGGTAAGTCTAAACCTGAATGATTTGGATTGCTGTGGAGGGAAAAGAGAGAAAGCGAGGAAGTTGTACAATTAATAAGGGTTGACCGTAGCGTATGAGTAATATTTTGTGGGTAGCGAAGCGGGGCGGATGAGCAAAGGCTTGGCAAGGAAGAAGCATTTTACAATATGTTATTTTTCTATTCTTATAATATTCTGAGACAGAATTAAAAATGGAAGTTCGAAAAAATATTGTTTGCAGTTTATCTCCTAAATGCTTAAAACATAAATTCAATTTTTTAGTACTACCGGAGGTCAATTTAGAGATAATTATTAGTTTAGCCGAGGAAAAGGCTCTATATTATTTAGAAAAAAAAATCAATAATAATCACATATTTGAAATTTTATTTTTGCTTAAAAGCCCTGAGGTACGTGAAAATAATTTTATTTCATTTAGATTTAATTTCTCTTATTATTTTGATACCACTCAAGGCAAATTCACACTCGGTAGTAGCAAGAATACAAGAACAAAAATCCCATGTATTTTGCTTGTTTAATCCAAGGCGAATTTAAGAAGGTCGCCACCTTACTAGGATAACGAATTCAAATTTTTTCATTTAATTATTTCGTATAGCTGAAAATTTTCAAATAAGATTTGCAACTTTTTCAAAATAAAAGAATGTGTTCCGATTTTGATTTGATGAGAGATAGATAATCAACGACCAACGCACTAAGAGAAATATATGCTCATTTTGATACCGCTATTATGAGGCTTTTATCTTCACTTTCTCAAATGTTCGAACCATTTCGTGTACATTATAAAAGCAACGAGGTTGCTAGTTTCCGTTGAAGATAACTCAGCGGGGCAGTCAAAAAAGTGCTAATGTTCTGCAGAATCTTCTTCTATGGCAAACATCATTATAGTGAAAGCTTATTTTTCCATGAAGCTGTCTGGTCACATTTCACGTGATCTCATAGTCTATGCATTTTTGACAAAGGTAAGTTTTAGCATATGTCATGACAAAGGCAAACCTGCATCTTGCATATGCTTTATTTTGAATAGAAGGGCTCCTTCGCTTACTAGTTCGTCTGCCATGCAATTTCTTGGAGTGTACGTGCAACCAATATATGGCAGCGTTGCATTTAACCGAGAGTTTTCTCACATTGCTTCTACATTTAGATGTGATACTGTCACACTGTAGAGATCTGATGCCAGCTTAACTATCGGAATCTATAGTAACTGATATTCCTGCTATCTCATTATTGGGAGCTCGCTTTTTTATCGATCTTTTAGCCGCCTGTGAAGATGAGTATGGCTTCACCAATTCACTTCCGTTTGGGATTCTTGTCGAATTAATCAGTTGGATTTTGTATGTACATGGAAAGAGGAGTTCGATACCAAGTTCCACAAGAAAACAGGGTGTAGTATGCATATGACAATTTTTAAAAAGAAAATTACGTTTGTACTGTGGTTAAATTAACATATCCCTCCAATGTTAACATTAAATAAATAATAAATATAAACAATTATATAATAAATATAATGTGATACTGTCTGCAAAGCGTTACAAGAAATCAAAGGGGTGCTGTAATTCTAGTGATCATATTTCGTGTAATGGGACTAAGTCTTACTATCAGGTGTACAACTTTGCTTCCGCCGTTTTTTTTCCAAAATTAAAAGCTTTATTGCGAAAAAGTGCTTACAGATATATTATTCAAAGTATTTTCCTTCGCTAGCGACAACTTTCTCCCATCTTTCCGGCAATTTTCGGATCCCGGCTCGAAAAAAGGAGTCCTCTTTTGACGCTATCCATGAAGCAATCCATTTTTCCAATTCTTCGAAGGATTGAAAATGTTGATCTGCCAGGCCGTGTGCCATCGAACGGAATATGTGGAAGTTAGAAGGGGCGACATCTGCGGAATACGGCGGGTAGGGCAAGACTTCCCATTTCAGCGTTTCCAGGTACTTTTTGACCACTTTTGCGACGTGAGGCCGAGCATTGTCGTGTTGGAGGATTACTTTGTCACGTCGCTCTTGATATTGTGGCCGCTTTTCTTTTAGCGCGCGACTAAGGCGCATCAGTTGCGTTCCCACCAAATACAAATCATAACCTTGGCGCCGTGCCCGGGCTTTCCACATGATTTTCTACGTTTAGGATTATCTCCGTAAGTTTCTGAGAGCGTTCGATGCGCTTCAGCTGCATTTTTTTCGAATTGTAACAGAAAAGTAAAACTTCCCGAAAATGGCGAAAAACCGGTGGAAGCAAAGTTGTACACCTGATAATATACGTTCTTTGCCATTGCTTATAAAATTCCCTTACGAATATATGTCCTTCAAGAACTCCCTAACATCCCATAAATTAAAACTACTTTACTGTTAATGTCATTTGAATAAGTAAACTTTGATTTTTAAGCTAATCTTTTCTGACTTGTTTTGAATTATTAATTAAATTTAACAAAGGCGATTTGTATGAATAAATTTAAAAAACAAAATGTTATAATGCTTAAATTGCTTCATTTTCTTTTATATTACAAAAATGAAATATCGAAAATGTATGAAAGTAAATAAGGTTCTCATTTTTGCAATTTAAAATGACAAGTCTTCGAAAAACTGCATTAAGAAATTAAAATAAAATTGAAAGAAACTTTTTTATTTTGAAAATTCAAAACTTATAGCGGTTCCTATTTTCATTTATTTAATATGAGGATATTTGAAATGAGGTTATTTAATTTTTTTTTTTTATAATATTTTATTTTGTTTCAATATATAAAAGTTACGGTTTTCTTTTTAGCAATATAAAAAAAGATAAGTCTTCGATTAGTTGCATTAAAAAATAAAAAATTCAAAAACAGCAAAGACACTTTTTTGTTTTGAAAAATTTAAATTTTTAACTTCTTATTATGTTTAACTTTTTTCCTATTTTACCGTATTTTATATGAGGATATTTCATTTTTTTAAGTAATTTTTTTTTTCTTAACATTATATTATTTATCTTGTTTTATTTTAATTAATTATAATTAATTGCTTTTTTTTTCATTAGTTTTTCCTGTCCGATATTTTTTAAATTTTATTTTATTCCTTTTTATCATAATAACTTCTTTTTTAACTTATCGTATTTCAATTCTCTTTAAAAAATTTTTGTTAGTTATTTTTTACTTTATTTTGCTTCATGTTATTATATTTTTAGCGGCCGCGGTAGCCGAGTGATTAGCAATGCGTACTGGCATTCGGAAGGCTCGGGTTCAAGTCCTGGTCTCGTACTAACATCCAAAAGTGTTAAAGAAATTTAAATTAAATATAATAAAAAATTAAGTTAAATCTTATAATTTCGGTCGCCTGATATTTCTTGCGCTTTTCGCCATAGTATTCTTGATGATTATGCTAATTTGGTATGCCGACACGGATAAGAAGAGCTCGCTTTCCCTTTTTCTCGAAAAAAATATCATCTGGCTTGTTATGCTGAACACTCCTTATATCGTCCATGTAGAGCAGATGCGAGAGCTTAAAGAGCATTCAACGTTTTTTTTATTTTGAACACAGCATTGGATGTGCAAGGCAAAACCACAAAGGGCTTAAACTGCCCCCTCGCAAAATACCTACTTTAATAGGTATTTCAGTTAACTTCGATATACCCTTGCTAATTTTAATATTAAGCATTATCTCCCAACTATTCATTAATCTTAAGCAATATTTATTATATTTGGGGCTATTTTATATAACCGTAACACATCTAAAAGCCATGCATGACGTACGCCATCATAAGCATTTTGGTACTCAATATATGCAGTATATATGTTTTTTTTTTTTGTTTGCGGTATGCCTACACCATTATAATGGCGTCTATTACTATTGTAGTTGCTTTTTGCAAATTTTGGTGTTTTTTACACAACCTTGTTGGTTCATAGCCAATTTTTTTCACTTTTCTATATTTTATCATATTTTACTTTTATATTTTAATTATTTATTTTGCTTTATTAATTTTAATTAATTTAATTTATTTATTTAAATTTTTTTTCATTTAATTGGACTCAATTTTGTTGTACTTTGTTTTATTTTATTTTGTTTAATTTTGTTTAAGTTAACTTAATTTCTTTTAAATTTTATTTGAATTTCTTTAATTTTATAAAATTATTGAATTTGTCTTATTTAATTTTGTTTCCCTTTTTTAACTTTATTGAATTGAATTTTATCTTACTTTATTTAATTTCTTTTGTTTCATTTGATTTAAATTCTATAAGATTTTATTGTGATTTTTTTGACCTTAATTTTAAATAATTTAATTTATTTATTTTTTTTATTTAATTGGACTTATTTTTATTTTACTTTATTTTCTTTTTATTTGACTTTATTTTATTTTGTTTTGTTTAAAATATTTTTTTTAAATTTTTTATTTAATTGTTTGATTTTATAAAATAATTGAATTTGTCTTATTTAATTTTGTTTCCTTTTTATCACTTTATTGATTTAATTTTATTTTACTTTATTTAGTTTCTTTTGTTTCATTAATTTCTTTAAGATTTTATTGTGATTTTTTTGACTTTATTAATTTTAAATAATTTAATTTATTTATATATTTTAATTTTTTTTATAGAATTGGACTTAATTTTATTTTACTTTATTTTCATTTTATTTTACTTTATTTTATTTTGTTGAGTTTAAATTAATTTATTTTAAATTTTATTTTGAATTGTTTGATTTTATAAAATAATTGAATTTGCCTTATTTAATTTCGTTTAATTTTTATCATTTTATTGGATTTAATTTAATGATTTAATTTTATTTTACTTCATTTAATTTCCTGTTTCATTTGATTTAATTTCTATAAGATTTTATTGTGATTTTTTTACCTTAATTTTAAATAGTTTAATTCATTTTATTATTTTAATTTTTTTTTATATAATTGGACTTAATTTTATTTTACTTTATTTTCTTTTTATTTGACTTTATTTTATTTTGTTTTGTTTAAATTTTTATTTGTTTGACTTTATTAATTTTAAATAATTTAATTTATTTATTTATTTAACTTTTTTTTTATTTAATTGGACTTAATTTTTTACTTTATTTGCTTTTTTTCTTTTATTTTATTTTGTTTAGTTTAAATCAATTTCTTTTAAATTTTATTTTTAGTTGTTTGGTTTTATTAAATAATTTTATTTTTATCTTATTTAATTTTGTTTCCTTTTTATCACTTTATTGATTTAATTTGTGGATTAAATTTTATTTTACATTATTTAACTTGTCTTGTTTCAGTTGATTTAGTTTCTATATAATTTTTTTTTTGATATGTTTGACTTTATTAATTTTAAATAAATTTAATTTATTCTCATTTTTTAAATATTTTTTTTTTTATTTAATTCCATTTAATTATTTATTGTATTTGACTTTTGGAATAAATTTAATTTAAAGTATTTTTTTATTTTATACTTATTTTTCCATTTGATTTTACTTCATTTTAAATCGGATTTATTTTTTTCACAAATGTTTCACAATCCTTTGCTATGACACAATGCTTACCCCGTTTTCGCGAAATTCGCGAGATAGCGCAACATAAGGCGACTAATCTGTTTCTCCTGAGTTGTATAGTTATGCGGGAATAGTGGTGAAATGGGTAATCCTAACCAGAAAGGCACATCTTCACCCCGAACGGAACCGGTTCGCTGTAAAAGAAAAAAATGAAATCGACAAAGTGGAAGATAAGAAAGCATTTTGAACAAGAATCATAATAGCTGACCTAAATAACATACATACTTATAGTTCGCTTTAACTACATACCTGCGGATACTCCTCCTCCATAGTTCTATGTTTAAAATGTATAAAATAATTGCGACCACCACGCAAGCTGTGCATATAACCCAATTTTATTAAAGCCGCTGCCGTATGCCCATCACTCAAAAACGAGAGAGTGGCATCACGTGAGCTCAGGGGACTGCGTATGGCTTTCTCCCAATCGGTGTATTCGTTCTGAGAAAAAATAAATAATTTTATTTTTCCATTCATTTATTTTACAATTTTTTTTTTTTTATGGTTCTAACTATAGAAATTTTGAGTACTAGAAAATTTTTCAACTATTTTGGTAATCATTGAAAATCATTCTGGAATTCGCACGAATTCGGTACTACGTTTTTCGATTTTTAATTTGAGATTATTTGGCAACCATTTAAGCTCGGGATGATTTAAAGTATTTTTCAAAAGTAAACGCGGGGTTGGATAAATACCAAGAGCTGAAGAGGGAAACAAGACGCATTTGCAAACAAAAAAATAAAGAGGCCGAGATGCGTGAGGATGAAGAGCTTGGGAAGTTGACCCCTTACAGAAGGTTTGAAGACCGGAGCAGATTCTTGTAGAAGGGAACACTTTTTCATCCCGCTGAATAGTAGTTGAATTGCAATACCAGGCATTGGCGAACACGATTCCACAACCGATGACGATGGAACTAATATTTCATTGCCCGACTAAGAGTAAGTTTCAATAGCAATCTCTCGCTTGGAAAACATCAACACGGCGAGGGCCGATGGTTTACCGGCGCAGCTATTTAAATACGATGATGAAGATATATAAAGTGCAAAAAGCTGATGTCTTTGCAAATTACGGGCGGATGAAAGCGCGCCCGACGTTTGGAACCTAAGGGCGATTTCACAGTCTGCGCTATTTACCGCAGATGAGCCGTGGGGTGAGCCTCCTTAATATCGCCTATCGAGCGCTTTGTGTGAAATGGTAAAGCTCAACGTCAACAATCTGTTTGGTGGAAACGCCCGTGATAAGAGGTTTGACACACACCATCTTTTCGTTGATTTTAAAGCAAAAGCACGAACAGGAGCTGCCTCTACGACTCTATGTCTGAATTCGGTTTACCCGGCTATGTAAACTGATGTCGAGTAACGTCAAAAGCTGCGTCAGGATCGGGAAGGACTTCTCCGTGTCGCTCGATATTAAACGAGGTTTCAGATAATTTCTTATCGTTTGAGAAAAGAAACGAGCTTCAGAGCTGAATAGAGAGAGTGCAATACGCTCTAAGAGTGAACAGCTGCAGGCGTATACGGATGATATTGACAACATAGCCGCGAAGGATATGGCTCTGGTAGCGAACAGTCCTCCAGTTCGTGACTCAGCTCCCAGGTCACGGTTATCTTGGAATCAGTATTCACACCAACAACAATTTCAGCCTGGAAAACCAGTGCAGAATCACTCCAACAGTGCTACTTCGGACTAAGTAGGCAATTGAAAAGTAAAGTCCTCTTTCGACGAATGAAGACCAAACTCTACAAGTCTGTTATATGACGCAGAGGTATGGACGATGAGAACATGCGGTGATTCGGCATTAAGAGTTTTCTAGAGAAACATTCTGCGTAAGATTTATTGTTCTGTACGAATTGGGTACGGCGAACACCTCAGCGGTTCAGCGAATCTAAAAACGGCGGCTGTGCTGGTTAGGGCATGTCTTAGGGATGGATAAGAATACTCTAGCCTTGAAAGTACCCTCCTGTGGAAGCAGGGGAAGGGGAAGACCATCACTACGTCGGAAAACCCAGATGGGGAATGTACTTGGTAATTCTAATTGACGCCAAACTGCGAAAAGAAGAAATGAATGTCGCAATGTTGTTAATTCGGTTATAAGCGGGTATGCGGTGTCTACGTCAGTAAAGAAGAAGAAGAGAAATCCGTACTCATGCCATAGTTTTTAGATACCAACTTTTATGTTTATATCAAACATTACGAGATCTGATATTTTCTTACTTAAAATATCGTACCATAAAAATTAATATATTAAGATAAAAATGTGTTTTGTTCACTGTCACTCACCTTTAAAACAGCAAATATTTCATTTAAATGATAATGAAAATTATTACGAACAAATGTCCTTAGTATACGATCACGTCGTGTCTCGTTAAAACCAAATTCCAAATCTTGTGCACTCAAATCTAAGTAAGATTCCACTGAGGTAAGGCAAAAAATGAGGTCTCGTTTTGGAAAGTTTGCAAATTCAATTCCTGATGTACTGTTGCGGCGCAGCACGGCAGAACGAGAAAAGAGAACAAAACAAAAATCTTAAATACGAACCCAAATTAGGGGCGTTATGATGATTGAATGGTTTCCAAGACCCATATATGATATGTTTTGAAGGTAATACACTATAATCATCAGAATATAATAAAAGGTACCAAGTTACCTAACAATGGCAGAACCCAAAGGCAATGACAATTCACCAACTGAATCGCTACTCGGCGATATTACCGTGCCATCGATGAAAGGCGCAAATCCGCTTAAAAATCTGCAATAAATATATTTTATTTAATAAAAGTAGTTTTACAAACTTTAACGAACCTCGGATGATCGATTTTCACAGCTAATAGTTCGGCAATCGATTTCGTGCGCAAACAAGGCGCCAAATCATCGTATAACATATCACCATGACAACCAGTCTGTTCGGCAACACGACGCTTTACGAATAATGGATTCTTTTGTATAGCCCATGGCGACAGCGCCGAGCCGCTCACCAACACTGCACGCTGTATAAGATCTGTAATCATCATGATAAATTTTAAGATCATATATACCTATTGTTTTCGAAACCATTTACCACTTGCGACGGGCGATACCACCAATATATTGGCTAAAGCTGCACCGGTGCTATGACCCATCAACGTTATACGCTGTGGATCACCACCAAAAGCGGGAAGATTTTCCTTTAGCCAATGTAGACCTGCAACTAGATCCATTAAGCCGAAGTTACCTTGTGCACTTTCTTTGCCGCCCGTTTTTAGGAAACCAAAAATGCCGAGTCGAAAATTGATCGTCACCACAATAATGTTGCCGTGTGCTGCTAACTCTGATCCATCGTAGGGGTTGCCAGAATTCCATTCGTATGATTCACCATGTATTAGTAGTACGGTGGCGAGTTGAGTTGTAGGTGGATCGTGTGTATGTTCAACGCTATTTGAGCTTGCGGAACCTAAGGGAAATGGGTTTTGAACGATTATCTTATATGTATAAATAAGGAAATTCCAAATAGGGAAGACAAAAAACAGCGTGAGGATACTTAAGAATCTGAGAGAGTAATACTTTTCTCCAAAGCAGCATATACCGCTTCGTTTCTACTTTGGATATTCCCTACAACTTCATGACACTTCTTCTAGACAGGGAAGAATTGGCAAACAAACAGGAAACTACGTGCGGGAGCATTGAAATTTTAGCAGACTTGAAACTTGATTGTGTAGAGAGGGAAGGTGTTTTCTCGAGTTACTCTTCATTGCAACGGTTATTCAAGCTACTAGATAAATGTTAAAACTTCTGCTATTCTGGAAGTCTTAGGATCGACTCAGGCAAAACTCTACAATCGTATTGGTCGAGATGACTGAACAGAATAGACTATCCTCCTCCAAGCAGATTCATCTTGACCAAGAAAACATTGGTATGCTCCTAGCCACATGCAAACTGGTATTATTTGCTCAGGAATATTTGCTCAGAAAAGCCGCGTTACGTTGGGAATAATATAAAACCTGTCACAAGCCGAGGCAAACTTGGATGAAATGCGATCGGAGATGGTCGGATGGAGGAAATTACAAAACTAATGGGAATTCTGAGCTGAGGACAGCCCGAGGTGGAAGGCAGAGTTTTCCAACTGTTATGCGATTACCCTACTCAATGCAGAAGTAGTTTACGGTATTTGCTGTGCTTTGTAACCGCTGAAGCGATTTTAGGCCGAGCTCCTCCTCAATTTGCGGATTTGCGTATTGATGTTTTTCCAACAAATGGAGAAACCTATAGTACTTATACTAAGCCACCTCCGAGTGGGGGGTTTTTTATGAGGAGATTTATTTTATGTCCGAAATACACTCAGAGGGGTTGTCATTCCCTGCCGAGGGGCGCCCGCAATTAGAAAATTTGGCTTTTTATTTAATTTGATTTTCTATAACTTCTTGGATGTTAGTACGACACCGGGATTTGAACCCGAGCCTTCCGAATGGCAGTACGGAATGCTAATTAAGTTAGATATATTTTCCTTTTCCAACCTACCAATATAATTTGTTCTTAGTCTTGTAAATGCAAAGCTTAGAAGATTAAAGTATGTGGGGAAGTTCTGAAGTCCTCTAAAGCCCCCTGAGGAGGTATTTTGACAGCCTGTTCTTAGACCACCAAATCCTTTACCACGAAACCATTGCCAAGTATTCCGAATATGAAGTTTACCAAACTCCTTCTCACCGATACTATTTTACTGCTGCCGGAATAGTTGGAAATACAAGCAATTTGTAAAATCTGTTAAAAGTATGAAGTTCACTGGGGATGGGAAAGTTTAAAATTTACAATAGTATAAAATTTTCAAGGGTGTCTCAGAATTTGTGATTAAGAAGAAGCTTAAGAGCATGTGATGATTAACTGCTTGGATCTTATCAGTGCGGCCTCAGTTCTGGTAAATCTATCGTTGACCAGATGTTCCCCTTGCCAACCGAGAAAAAAAGATCGACACTCACCACCTCTTCGTTGACTTTAAAGCAATCTTTGGCATGAACTTGCTAGGGTAGTACGACTCGTTAAAGAACGCATTGGTATGTTTTTTGCTACAAGCAGACTGTTTCTCAAGGAATTCATATATGAACAAGCAGCTAAAAGGTGGAATGACGATGGTCGATATAAGAGATTTATACTCCTCAAAAAGAGGTGACATGTTCAAAGTAATAGGAGTTCCGACAAGCCACTGTCTGATAGGACGGCACACGAAAGACCTACAGAAGAAGCTGCACAAGCTGCAAGGAGGACGAAGAGAAGAAAATGATCCCCCATCTGTTAAACGACTGTCCTGCTTTGAGCTGGGTGAGGTTTTTGTGATCGTAGAAGCCGACGCCAAATGGAACTAATAAAGTTGATTAGAGAATTAAAATGGATTGATGATAAAACCTGAAGGGTTAAGTTCTTGTGGTATCACAATGGGTCTTAGTCAGGCCTAGATTAATCCGATTCAGTGGATTGGTAGTCACTGCTACCTAACCTATTACATATTTAGTAATATATTAGGAATTTCTTAGTTACTATTTTTTCTAAAAATTGTATTTTATTCCATTTTTTTTTTTTTTTGAAATTTCATCATTTTTCTTTAGTAAACGCTGAGTGTCACTATGATATTATCACTTCCACAATGCTTGCAGTAATTTTTATAAATAAACTGCAATGCACTACGGAATTGACGACGTCATAGCTTAGTATATCAAATATAACTTTTACGGTCTTAAGAATTAATAATTTTAATATCATTCGTGTCATAATCACAAAAATTCAATTTTATTTTATATTTTTTCTGCTTTTTACTTACGTTTTTTTCTTCGATTTTCATATGGAACATAAATATTTAAATATAAACAGTCTTCCGATTGATTACTCAACAGCGGCAGCAGTCGTCTTAGTTGCGCTAAGCGTGCTCTTGGCACTTCCAACAATGCCTCCGGGCCATTCGGCGGTATGGGTACCGTTTGTGGACATACGGCGGAGAAACGGTCAGCACTGCGGACATTCTTCCATGTGGATGGCGTAATGGGTGGCATGAATCTGCAGTGAGACAAAGTTGAACGAGAGAGAGAGAGGAAAATATTGAATTATGTCATGGAATATTATTAGCATACATGATGGTTATAAAGTTAAACGTTCAAAAGCGAATTAAAAACACTGTACAACGAAAAATACGTTTACTTAAAAAATAAATATATTTAGTAAACGCTCTTTATGAATAATGCCCTCATAAAATTTTTTTCGACCGAATTTTTTTGGAACTCTCAGAAGCGTGGCACGCCTTCCGCAGATGCATATAAATATACTCTACGGGACTACCAATGTCAATTTCTATCTTATTATTCACAGTGTTTTGGCTGAATTCGGACATTCTTTTGATGATACTTTGAGTAACCCGGTTCTTAAGGAGCACAACTAGTGTGAAATTTAAAAGAAAAAATGATCTTTCCATTTTTCAATAGATTACACCTTTAAAAATAACATATTAAAATTACAAATCGATATCTCAAATAGTTTTTGAGTTAGAGCAATTTAAAGAGCAGCCGCTTGGCAGCTAGAGAGTCTCATTAGCTACGAGTGAAAACAATCATTTTATCTTTAAACGCGTTTTTCTCGAAACAGAATTTTCCGAATTTGCTGCAGTGATTACTCAAAAACAAATGATCCGATCACTATCGATTTTTTTTAGAGAACAATATATAGTTCTCCGTTCAATGACCTATCGATTTTTGATCTGATCAAAAAATCGATTTTTGGCAGGCCATAAATGACCAAAATTTTGAGTAATTCGACTATTTTTTGTAAACGCCGCCATATTGTCAATTTTTGATTTTTTTTATCGTAGGTCATTGTACAGAAAATATTATCTAGATAGTAGAGTATTTTTTTTTTTAGATTTCATCCACGGAGAAGGCCGGAATCACTGCAGCAGTAAAGGACATTTTTTTCGCGCCGTTGGAGATCGACTATAACCTAAAAAATATTTTATTTTTTTCTTCAAAAATTACACTGTATATTCTTGAAAAATGTATAAATATATTCTTAAAATTTTGAAATAATTGATAAAATATTTTTTTTTTTTTTTAGAAAAATTCCAAAAAATCACCTTTTTTTAGGCCATTAGACAAGGTGTGCCCCTTAATATCTTCACAGTTATTATGGTAAGGTTTAAGCTATTCATACATAAAATCAATATCCATTACCATATGTTTCATTCATCAAGTTAGGCAGCATTACAATAAAATATTGGTCCAAATTGGTCGGAATTTCCACGAACGGATTATAACTCTAGAGGATGCTATTGCTATTTTTGTGCGGTTTATTTCTTCAATGGAACTTTTTTATTTAATTGATATTAACATCGCACTGCGCGAATATTGTAAAACTATTTATTTTATTTATTTATAGCTGATAGAAAAGTTTATAAAACTTAACTAACAGAAGAGATAGCTTTGGCTGCTGGGGCTAATGGAAAACCAATTATACATGAAACTACAGAGGACTATACAATGTCCCTACTAAGGCAAGATTTATTGTCTTTATTTGCCAAAGAAAGAATTGAAAATAATCTGCTATATTCAATTTGAAAACAAGAAGTTTAGCACTGCAGTGTTCCTTGATGTTGCTCAGGCATTTGAAAAAGTTTGGTTAGATGGTCTATTATACAAGCTGAAAGGTAAGCTTCCCGTAAAAATTTATGATGTCGTAGAAAACTTTCTTATAGACAAAAAAGTTATACCACTGAATACTATGAAATATTTGCTGGCGTACCACAAGGAAGTGTTTTAGGGCCCGTCTTATATTTAATTTATACCAACGATCTTCCCACAAACCGAACCCTCATCACATCAGCTTTTGCGGATGCTACGTGTAAAGCAATACTTAGTGTCCATTCAAACCCCATGTGACAGCCAGTTACAAATAACAAGAACATTTAAAAGCAATAGAAGCGTAGCTAAAAGTTGGAGAATTAAAATCAATGAGTCTAAGTGTATACAAGTAACATTTACCCTAAAAAAAAGACACATGCCCTTCAATCTCTATAGATGGGAATACAATACCTCAGAAAGAATTCGTTACACTGCATAAAAGACTCATCTGGAAAAAGCACATAGATAAAACGATTACTCAAACCAAATTGAAAATTGCGAACTTGCATTGGTTTCTAGGTTCTAAGTCTAAACTAAGTTTAGAAAACAAAGTTTTACTCTTTAATGTGCTTATAAAGCCAACTTGGACGTACGGAAAATTTGGGGCGCAGCATCTAAATCTAGTCTAGATAGAATTCAAAGACTGCAGTCTAAAACCTTAAGATCAATATGCAAAGCCCCTTGGTATGTAAAAAAAACTCCACAATTCACAAAGATCTCGGAATAAAAACCGTCACCGAGGTTATAGAGAAACTGCTTTAAAATTACTAATTAAGGTTATCTAACCACCTAAAATTTCTAGCTAAAAAATTATTACAGCTGAACTAGCCTAAGCGATTAACGAGAAAAGATGTACATTTGAACTGTGACCAAGGGCTCTGCCGCATCTAATTATTCTGCATCGGAGTTGCGCTCCGCATATATATTTCATGATATTGTAATTTACTTAAAATTATCCTTTATGATATATTTTTTATTGAATTTTAAACATGAGTGTTTGGTATCCCTAATGATATCTATATGAACATATTCTTTGATAAATCTAAGTTATATTTGTAATTTATTGTACTTTGCTTACTTTGTGAATCTATACTGTGGTAATGATTAACTTGTTTTAGGAATAAGATTTATTTTTCAGATTTTCGAAATTATTTTTAGTTTCTAAAAAGGAAGGATTCAATAAAACATAAAAAAACATTCAATACTCATAGTATCTACTAGAGAGTATGCATCATTTTTAAAAAAATAAACTCGTAGGGACATGGAATTAGATCCAACGGTCTCTCCTGACGATCAAAAGGCATCAGAGATACGAAGCTGCTTTTAATAATGCTTTCTCAATTGGAAAGAAGTTGGAATCTGAAGTTGACTGCGTAAAACATCCGAAGATTTCTAATTATAGAGTTAGAAAAGAGCGGATTATTATAACATAAACATTTCTTTATAGAGAGTACCAATTCTGATAGTTATTTCTTTATTGGATAGGACGCACTTTGAAGTTGATTTGAAAAAATTGAAATATAATACCAGCTTAAGAGAGGAAAAAAAGCAGTGATTTATTCGGCCGAAAGCTACTTTGTACTGAATAGGAAATTAAAAAGTAAAGTACTCTCTCGCGGCACAAAAGCTAAACTCTACAAGTCGCTCGACAATCCAGCACTACTATATGTTGCAGAAGCGTGGATTGTGTTAAATTTTGGAGTCTTTGGAAGAAAAGCTTTGCGGAAAATTGATCGTCATTTGGGATTGACAAAAGCGAATACCACAGATAATGGAACGATGAGCTGCACGAGTTATGCTTCAATATTGATGTAGTTCAGTTAATAAGGAGACAGCGACTGCCTGAGCTCGGTCATATCGTTCGAATTGATGACAGTACTACAGTTATGAAAGTATTCGATGCATACACACTGGAGAAGACCTCCAATCCGTTGGAAGGAACATTTGGAGAACGATCTAGTGGCACTTACGCCAAATAGCTGAGAGTAGGAAGAAATAACGCGCTATACTTAAGAATATAATCGCGTAATCGGTGCTTACGACAATGCATTCTTCCACTTCTTCGCTCAGTCAGGGTTTTTCATGCAGGGTAATATGGGATATTTTTAGACGTGTAGTTTTAAATGACCGCTGTTACTTAATTTAAATTCAGTTTGGCTTGCCATTTCATATTAAACAAACTTACTTCGGAACAACGTTTATTTAGTTTAATAATGGTTCGATTCGCGTGACATATCGCGCGCTGTTTCCAATATTCAGTGGACATAATTGCCCTGCAGATCGGTTCGGTGCATATTCAAACATATCGCATAGTGCGCGCCGATGACGATATTGATTCCGTGGAGCAGAGCCACGAAGAAGACCCCATTGAGCCCAATCGTGCGAATTAATTGGAGCTGTACGCATCCAATTTGTGGAATAATTTGCGGAAGTAGCTTGGTTTGCGTGCTTTACAAAATCCAACTCGTGCAGGAATTGAATCGAATGACCGACAAGCGCGTTGCCAGATTTTCACAAGAAAAATTTGTTCAGCGCTGAAGCTCACTTTTAGTTGAATTAACGTAACGTCTCATTTGGAGGGGTGATAGTCCAAGAGACATTGTCATTGTTTATGTGTTTGATTTATAAGCAGAACGTTATAGAGCCTTGATTACTTCTCGTGCCTGAATTGGAAGATTTTGATCTGTATGACTTTTGGTTCCAACAAGACCGCGCTACATGTCATGCAGCCAATGAAATAATCCATTCATTCATTGAAGGAAGTTTTGGCGAGCAAATGATCTCTCGTTGTGGACCTGTTTTGTGGTCACCAAGATCTTGTGGTTGAAAACCGTTGGTCTTCCGAGACGATTGACGCAATGGAAGAAAATATTCAGGGCGTTCTGGTCGGCATACGATATCAAGCAATAACCTCTAAAACTTTCTTTATTAACAAAATTAAAAACACATATACACTTATGTATACAATTGGCACTTTATGATCGCCTGAAACGATTTCCAGCCAAGTTCCCACTCTAATTTGTGGTATGCATTTTGATGGAAATGGATGGACTTACTGTTTATTTTGAGCCACCTCCGAACGGCTGATGAATTTTTATGAGGAGCTTTTATTTCATGTCATAAACATGCTCGGAGAGCTTGCCATTCCCTGCCGAACAGCAATCACAATGAAAAAATAATAATTTTCCCTAACTTTGGCTTCTAGGCAATGTATCAGATGTAGAAGGATTTGCCCTCTGTTTCTCTGATTGGCGTTGAACGGCGAACAGAATATTATCTGTGATTGTTTAATCGGTTTATCTAATTTGGAAATCGGACGGATAACCAAAACAACAAAATTTTAGGAGCTACATATATATAAGGTTAATGCAAAGTAAAATTAACTTTTTTTAAGGGGATTTATAGTGACTATTTAATATTGTCGGCTGCCTGAGCGATCATACTGAAGGGCTTCTTTCCTAATCCTTTTCTTTCCACTATACATAAGTTCATTGTATGCATCATTCTTGAAACTGATACTATGAGCATTGTGGACGATGCATCTTCATCTGGAGCTCTGCCACTCGCCAAAGTGGTGCACCAGCTTTCTTCATCTTTTCGGTATACTCTCCACCTAGCCAATTTAGTTAGCTTTTAAGGAAAAGTTGACTGGGTGATGCGTCGTCAATGCACCTACACTTTATACTCAGTGTGCTTTTACTTAATACTCCAGAGTAGTCTGGTTAAGTATTATTCTGGGGTCAACAATATTTGGTAGCGCTAAAAGGTCTAAGAAGTCCGATTTAGCGGTGTAGCCAGGCAATGTTGTATACTAAGCAGAGTGTAATGGGTTCAAATCCTAGTCCTGCAGGGTATGGTAGTAGCTCTGTCGAAAGACGGTGCGAGGGCTATAAAGTTTCAGCAATTTCTTGTATTCTGAATACCTCGCTATTCCGGTAAATCTCACTTTTGAAGCTGTAATTTTTTAAAATTCGACAAGTAAAAGTTGAGCCAGTAATAAAAATGGAGAGAAACACGCTTCAACAGCGCATTGAAATTATTAAAATTCTTCATAAAAATTTCATCAAAAAATCATCCTGATTAATAGGGGCATTTTCTAACATTAATAAGCAAAACTGTCGCTTCTTGGGCTCGGAAAACTCAAGATCCCATCCGGAAAATTTTCCACAAGATTCAAGTCGATCGAGATGAAATTGTAGAAATTAGAGAGTTTTTAATCCGTCTTCTTTGTTATCACTTGGCCAAACACGCTGACTTTAAACGCATATTTCGTAAAGCCACTTTATTGAAATCGGTAGTCAAAATTTTTCAACGACTATTAAAGTGCTCGATTTCATATTTCCTTCACTTCTATTATGCATGTTTTTGTAGTCCCTGAACGAAGGATTTACTTTATCTTTGATTTTAACTCATTTTACAAGCCAATATGTGGCCTAATTTTATGGGAAAATAACGGTTTTTGTAAGAAACGCTACAAAAAATTCAATTTTTATTTTTTTTTTAATTTTTCTTCGTTCAGGGACAAGGATAATTCACCTACTTTAAGACAAAGTTTGGATTTTTGATTTCAGATAAAAATTGAAAAAGTTATCATGGCTACCGCGAAAGCACTTTCTTGTGGACGGTCTACTTCACGCCACTGCCAACGCCTTAACTTAAACTATTTTTCATTCAAATTTTCATCAAATGTTGTCCACATATTGTACTTTTATATGTAAATAAAATAAATTGCACACTTTATTTAGTATCTTTAAAAAAAAATGAGAAAATAAGCTTTTTTTTGGTCGTCAAGACCTACGTAATCTCTTAATGCTACTTTGAGACTTCTTCCTTCAGGGCCACGTGAAAGACAAGGTCTACGCCAACAGACAGACCAACGTCGATACAAGACCTCAAAGCATTGGGGCTGTGCAGCAGTCACATTGCGATTTGGTTATGACCTTGGCGGTCATTTGGTCAATATTTTCTTTCCATTATTAATACCATTTTTTGCTTTTTACATTGAAATAAACATCCGATGATTTATCTCAAAAAATGTAATTTTTCTTTGAATATCAAAATAATACCTCCTATTGGAAAATCCTGTATATATATATATACATAGAAGTTCTGTTTTCTCTTCGTATTGTGGCTATTTTCGTCTCTAATAAGAGACTAGTTCTGATAGTTCAGTGCTGCAGCTGCGTAGATCACAAGTAAATCAACAAGGTTGATATCGAGCACGATCTTTACAGGGCCTTTGTTTAGGTAGTTCTGTTGCTCTTGTTGTAGTAATCGAAAAAATATTCTCCGGTTTGGTTTTCGAGGAATGTTGTGTGAACGACAGCCCTTAGCAGGACAAATATCCGGATATTTCCGGTATAAAGACGCAAGTGTCGCGGAATGTATTGAGATTTTGTCGCCTCCACCACAGGATAAATTCTTGAGGCCCTAACCTGCAGGTAGGCTCCCTCACGCCTATTATTTCCACTTTAGGATAAGGTTACATTCGTTGACAAGGCTTAATGCGGCACTTCTTATTTAGCGTCACACACCAAACTAGTCTTTAACTACTCCGTTGTAAGAAACTCGACGAACTGTTTTATTGACATATAGATTTTTTCCAAATGCAGAAGACTTGGGTAGACTAAGTGCATGGTATTAAGCATTAAAACTAAAAAATTATTGAAATCGACCTACTAGTACAATATATGTTGCCCATATAATTGTATGTAGAAACTAATTAAACAGTTTAAATAAAATAACGGTTTGCTTAGTATAAAAAAAAAATCATTAAAAAGCAAACACTTTTCAACTAACTGTTAATAATGGTGAAATACTTGTATAATTAGCATACTACTCACCTCAAACTTCCAACTGGCGGCGAGGCATACGGTATACCCAAATAGGCCTCAACCATCGGACTAGAGCGCACAACAATACCGCGCAGCAGACCGTATTTCGTCTTCACCGTATTCGAACTCAAGCGCACAGTGCTGCCGTGAAAGCACTCGGTGCCATGCCACAGCGAGGATAATAGAATCAAAACGGTGAGCGTACGATGTAGCAACGGCAGGAATGGACGATGATGACAGGGCCAACAACGCCAGCGCCAACGGCAATGGTCGCGAACATAATCCGTTAAATGAAAGTGACAAAAAAATTGTGCTAACACAGTTGATGATGATGATAGTGATGATAGTGATGAAGTTGATGGCGATGATGATAGAGATGTAGCAGATGAGTTGAGGTGCGGCTGTGTGTTACCGCAAGTGAGCTCATGTTTTTCTTTTGACATTTGTAGTTGTGAATGCTGTGTCTGCTGCTGCTGTTGTTGTTGATGTTGTTGTTGCACTTGCGGTTCGTCTTGCTGCTGTTGTTGTTTTTCTGCTGTATGCAATTGCTGTTCTTGCTTTTGTTGTTGTGGCTGCTGCTCTAGTTGACACATAAGTTGTGGTTGTGATTGGGCGAGTGCTTGCGGTTTAGTTGGCGAAAGTGGCTGAGGTTGGGTTTCAGTAGTCGCTAAAAGCGTTGGTGGCAGCGACAGCGGTTGCTTCGTTGGTGGTGACAATAAGTGCTTTTCTTCTGACACTGACTGTGGTATGCAGGTTTGTAATTGCAACTGTGTTTGCGCTGACGCGGACTCTGTGGATTCCACGGGCTGTGTGGGTGTTGATGGCATTGTTTGAAGTGACAATTCTAACACTTCCACTGACGTTGTTACTGTTGTTGTAGCTTCTTTATCTACGGTACACGGTTTTCTTGTTGTTTCTGCCTTCACCGTTACTATTTTTGATTTTGCCTGCTTCCAAGTCTTTGGCTTTTCTTCAACGCTGTATATACGACGCCGCTTGCATAATCTCAATGCTAACCGCAACCAACTGGGCAACAGAGCATTGCTCGTGTACACGAACTTGCCCGTTTGGCAGTTTATTTTCTGTAAACGCTTATGAAATAGTACATTTGATTGTTGTCTAGGAATTTGTAGAAATCTCTTTAATGATATCAGTCTTATAATGCAAATTCCTTGTATTAGTTGTGTGAGTGATGACGTTGAGGGGCTGATAAAGCTTACACCAACAATGCTGCGTGTCGTAAAACAACAATTATTTTTATTGTTATTATTATTATTATTATTAATTTTTTTATTATTTTCCCCTCTTTTGCTTCTGCTGCTTCTTCTTCTTCTTCTACCACAACTTTGGCTCCTTTTGCTGCCGTTGCGACGGTCATGAAATTTTTTGATTGCTCTGTCATTTATCGTTATGGGCGTTGCATGCTGCGGGACTGGGTATGTGTGTGTGTCGGTGTATGACGCGGTGCAAACGTTTAAGGGAGAAATGAATTCGGTTGTTGAAGTTGAGTTCGAATTTTGTAGTGTTGCTTTTGATTTCTGTGCTCGTACAGTTGCAGTTGTTATTGTTGTTGGTAGTATTCCAACATTTACAGCTGTTGTTGATCCCTTTCGTTCACCTGCAGCTTGTTTATTTGCCAAAAGCGTTGCAGCAATTTGCATAGTAATGAAGTAATTTGCAATAAGCTTGAAAATCTCGAAAATAAGTAAATATTTTACATAACAGAGGAGTCGCTGCACATTTCCTTGCTGTTGCTGTCCATGCGGAGGAAGGAGTGCGTAATTTTGGTTGTGCTCACTCAATGTTTGCTGGCAGTAGGTGACGCTGCGACAGCGCTTGATTGCTTTTACAAACAGAAATTCATTGATGTTTGATTTAAGGGGGTACAAATTGCTGACGGTGCGAGTACATACTCGTATGTGTGTATGAATGCGGCGTTTGGTGTGCTCACCTGTGCTGCTGCTTCTGTTAGTGCTGCCTTCATGGGGTTTTCCAGCACCGCATGGCGTATACGTAACATTCGTTGTCTTTAACTCACCCGTGTTGCTTATTGTTTCGCTTTTGGCTCGTCTGTTTTCTTCACCTAGCCTACATGGCGTATACACAACCTTTTTTGCCGTTAATCCACTTATACTGTTTGCACTTGCGCCGTAGGCACGCCTCCACGGTCCTAAAAGAAGCTCAGTTGGCACAAGCTTAACTCTAATACTGCTGATATTGCCACCATCACCTTCAATCGGTCTAAACGCAGCCGCTTTTAACTTTAAAATACACTTTGCGCGCAGTTTAAAGTTATTTGCACGCGCTCTGCAGCGTCTGCAGGGGTTACATGGCGTATACGCAATCTCAGTTATCTTTAACCTCTTCGGCCTGTTTGCTTTACTCCTGTTTTCATTGATTTCCGACGTACAATACAATNCTCATACCAACTGTAAGAATCTCTGCTCTGTTCTCTTTCGTTTTAATCACCTCTTTGCATGTTATAACTACAGCCGACTTCTTGATGTATGAAAGTAAGATCTTAATGACCGATTGTCTATCTACATAACTGTATATTCTATTCGCTTGAAGGTCTGTCCTCTGTAATAGCCTTTATTTTTAGCAAATAAAAAATAAATTTCAAACGAAGGCTCCATATCTGTTATTTTTTGATAGGTTAGGTTTTGGTTGAGATGGTCGACTGCTCAGCAAGGCTCACATGAATAATACAACGGCTTTTATGATTGCTTGGCTAACTAAATATATTATATATATATACTCTTTTGTGTGGGCCTGCCTTCTTAACACTCTCCTGCCTTGAATTACTGTGGTAATTTGGGTAGGTGGAAAGGCTTTCTTATTTCTGTTAGAGCACAGTAAACTGTAACTCACACTTCCGCGTTCATTTTAGAACCATCTGTAAACTTTAATTACAAACTTGAACCTTTGCCGCATTCGACGGGTTCCATTGTTGTTGAAAGTCAAGCCCGTGTGTCTGTATGTCCTGCTTCTTAGCTGTTTAAGCAATCTTTTGACAAGACGAAATAAGAGAGTGACCGTAATATGTAAATATGAAGAGCTTGAGGTGTTTGGTTGACGGTTTACAGACGATTTCAAGTCCGCAGTAGACTCTTGTAGGATACAGAGAGGTGATTTAGTGATTGATGCACAGATTATATTGAATTTATGGAGGTAACACTTCTCCAATCTGCTGAAAGTCAGTGAGAATGCAAAGCCGGAGATGGCGAATCCGAAGCCACAGTCAATGATACCGAAAAAGACGTTCCATTATCCGAATTTGATGAGGTTCGAATAGCATTTTCCCCCTTAAATAACAGCAAAGCCGCTGGAGATGGTGATGGGTTACCGGCCGAGCTATTTAAACATTATTATTGGAATTGCAGCATGAACGTCACAATCCAAAAAAGGGAATCCCACGGTCTGCCTCAATTACCGTGGAGTTAGTTTCCTAAATATCGCATATAAGGTTATATCGAGCGTTTTGTATGAAAGACTAAAATCAACCGTCAATAGGCTGTTTGGTCTTTATCAGTGTGGCTTAAGACCTGGTAATGTTGACCATATGTTCACCATGCGACAAATCTTGAAAAAGATCCGTTAAAGTGTAAGAGGAAAATGTAACCGCGACCTTCCGCCGATCGGTTTAGGGTTCAGTGCAGACCGGACTATCACTGGTTTTTGGTAAAAAAAAGGAAGATTCACACACCACCACCTTTTCGTCGATGTTGAGGTAGCTTTCGAAAGCTTAGTAATGAGCTGGCCATGTCTGAGTTTGGTATTTCTGCAGTGTTACCTGACGTTGGACACCGCTAGAAGTGCAGATATTGACATCCTTGAATTCTACTTTCTTTAAGCGAAACGTGAGAGACTGGTAGGGAACGAGTGCAAGACGAAATATCTCCTGTCCTCAAACGAAGAGCCATCGCATTCGCGATATGGGGAGCAGCATTAACACCAACAACCATGTCAGCTTGGAAAGCCAATTCAGAATCACTCTTGCCAATAGGTGCTACTTTGGACTATGTAAGCAATTGAAAAGTAAAGCCTTCTCTCGACGAACAAAAACCCTGCTCTATAAGTCACTCGTGGTCCAGAAGAGTGAACGATGTCAACATCCGATGACACAGTCCTGAGAGTCTTCGCGAGAAAATTCCACGTCAAACCTAGCTACATTACATTATTTTTATTGTATCTTTTGTTAGAAGAAGATTGCTGCTGCCTTCGCAAATTCAAATAGTCCTTTTAGCTCTTTATTCATTGCTCACTGAAGGCATTGTAGCTTTACTTCGTCCAGTAAGCATTAACTTTTTCTTGTTGAATGCTGGATACGCACAAATTACTTGTGCCACTCCACACATTTCCTGCATTTTTTACACTTGTTGTGGTCTATAAGGCTTTGATTAAAGGTGAGCCCCGTCATTAGTTCTACTAGCAGCCTTAGTCTATAGGCTCTTTTTTACTCGTGAAACCTTTGTAAGCTTATCATAATAAGTTTCACACATATCTTTCGTGATTCTGCTGCCTTTTGCTCGTTCCCAAATTCTATACGCAGGACGAACAAGTTTATTTAATGCGCTTGCTTTACTTTATCGAAAAGAACTGGTAAGTCCTTCATTACGTCGTATTCTGAGAGGGCTTCATTGCTTTCGATGCTCATACCAACGGTAAAAATTTCTTCTCTCTCTTTTTAATCACCACTTTGCATGCTATAACTGCAGCTAACTTCATGATGTAAAGTAATTGATGTATGAAAGTAAGACCTTAATGACCAATTGGCTATCTACATAACTGTATATTTTATTCCTTTGAAGGTCTGTCCTCTATAATAGCCTTTAATTTTAGCAAATAAAAAATGAATTCCAAACGAAGGCTCCATATCTGTTAATTTTTGATAGGTTAGGTTTTGGTTGAGATGGTCAACTGCTCAGCAAGGCTCACATGAATATTACAACGGATTTTATGATTGCTTGGCTAACTAATTATATATATATATTCTTTTCGTGTGGGCCTGTCTTCTTAGCACTCTCCAGCATTGAATCACTGCAGTCAGTTGGGTAGGTGGAAAGGCTTTCTTATTTCTGTTAGAGCACAGTAAACTGTAACTCACACTTCCGCGTTCATTTTAGAACCATCTGTAAACTTTAATTGCAAACCTGAACCTTTGCCGCATTCGACTGGTCCCATGCTGTTGAAAGTCAAGCCCGTGTGTCTGTATGTCCTGCNCAAAAGAGGCTTGTGAAAAGTGGCTGTCCCAATTCTTCGCAAATAAGGAGGGGGACTTCTACGAGGAAGGTATTATGAAGTTGCCGTCTAGTTGGAAACAGATCATCGAACAAAACGGAGCATATATTAACTAAATCCGATCACTGTAACACTTTTTTTTAAAGCATTGAATGAAGAGCAATATATAATATATAAAAGGAAACACCATAATTGCTCCACACTGTATACTTATGTATATGTAAATTCAATCACACATCCATAGCATCTGCAAACGCACTTCCCCCACAAACATGCTAAACCCCATCAAAATCTCGATTCCTCCAACTTAAATACTTGTAGCGAACACTAATACCAACATTATAAGAAATATATGTATATATGTGTATATAAGTATGAATATATGTGAATTTTCCCCTATATATTGTCGACTGAGTAAACTTTGTTATTTTGAAATCTTCACGGTTTATAATTGTTGCCCCTAATTAAAGCAAATAGTTCATTTGTCTACTGCGTGCATACATATGTATATATTGTATATGTATGCACCTAAATTGGCATAAGCTCGTCGATCGAAATTGTGTAGTACTACATACCTACTTACTGGTTGATGAGGGGGATTTTGAAAATACGCTATGCTAAATTTTAATTAACAAAAGTGACGCTCAAATGTATGCCACTGCAGTATGTTATTTG